CCCTCCCGTATGCGAATCAGGTTGTACGCCCTCGCAGATCCAACTTTGTGAAAACGCGTCCTTTCCTCACCGTTGCGAGCAGGTCATCTATCTTGGGCATGGGAAAGGCTGTGGGCTTGGTTTTCGAGTTCAAAATTCTATAGTCCACCACAAGCCTTTTTGGGGCGTGTCCTTCTTCTTCACAAAGAATACAGGACTGCCCCCACTGCCTTCGACTCCTGGATGAAACCGCGCTTCAAGTTGAGGTCTATGAACTCCCTGAGTTCCTGCAGCTCGTCTTCAGACATGGAAGACAGTTTCCCGGTTGGCAGCGTCGCTCCTGGCAGGAGGTCAATCTTGCAGTCATCAGACCTGTGGGGAGGTAGCTTGTCCGCTTCCTTCTCGCAGAAAACCTCCAAAACGCTGCGTACTTGAGTGGCACTGCTTGCAGCGTGCCTAATTGTAGCTGCGGGTCATCCTCTTCCCCTTCCGGGCTAGGCAGAATGCAATGTTCCGCACAGTATGAGGAGCCGAAGGTCAGTTGTCGCTGGTACCACGCCAATGCTGGGCTGTGCCTGTGCAGCCAACTCATGCCTAATACTATAGGCGTGTCCGACAGTTGGGTGACATTGAAGCTGATGACTTCTCGGTGATTTCCAATTTGCATCACCATCGGAGGCGTTTGCTGCACCACCTGCCCCCCCAGCAATTCCCTGCCATCCACCGTGACAACTTTCAGAGGCAGCGTGGCTGGCAGGAGTGCTATGTTGTGCTCTTGAAGGAAATCCAGTCCTATGAAGTCTGCGTTACTACCAGAGTCAATGGTAATCGGCACTTCCATAGTGAGTCCATTGGGTAGTTGGAGCGATGCTGTGAGCTGCACCACTGGTTTGGGCGGGAGGGGGTCTGTGGGCTGCAAAATCTCTGGGGACGGCTTCATTGACTTGTCTGGTTGGGCCCCAGTGCCTCTTCCTCCAACCAGACTCTGTCGTTTCCCTGCTGTGGTTCTCTCTGCTGAGTTGCTTCTGTTACTGTTGCTGAGGCTGCAGTGTGCTTGTGGAGCCTCTGGGGACACTCTTTCGCCATGTGCTGAGCACTGTCGCAGATGTAGCACTTCCTGTTCCCTCTAGGAGGCTTCGCTTTGACTGCTCCCGGTGTTAAGGCTCTGGTTGCTGACTGAGCCCTGGCGCCTCCAATCTCCATCGGTTGCTCTCCCCTCCTTGCGGAGGTGGGGATTGCACACGCGCTGCATCCTTGGGAAAGAGGGGAGGTGCTCTCACTGGCGTACGTCCCCAACGTCCTTCTTCTCTGTTCCATGGACGTTCTTCCAGACGCACCCCAATTTGCAGCGCCCGCCGGACAACCTCCTGAGTGCTCTTTGGTCTCTCCCCCCTTGCAATCTCATCTTTCACATTTGCATTCAAGCCTTCCCAAAGAAGGTCTCTGGCTGGGGCAGAATCCTTCTCCCATCCCAGCGCATGGACTAATGCAAAAAGCGGGAATGGTACTGCCTTACACTGGCTCTGCCTTGTTTGAGCCCATGTATGTCTTTTCTGGCGATATCAATGTCTATATTTGATAAAAACACGAATCCATCGCTTTAATGAATGCATCCGCATTTTGGAGCGCCGGATCCTTATCTCTCCACAGATTGCGCAGCCACGCTTTAGCTTCCCCATGCAAATGGGACAAGATAAACCCCACCTTCTCTTGCTCATCTCTAAAGTCTTTATCCAGCAGTTCCAGCGCAAACAGCACGTCTGCTCGGAAGTTAGGGTACTGCTGCAAATTCCCATCGAAATGAGATACCAGGCTGCCTCCTCTTTCCCCAGCCCAATCCCCTCTGATTTGGGTCCCGGTTGCCCCTGCTTAGCAAGCACTTCCAACCTGGCTTGGAGATCCCTGCAGGCGGCAGCCGCTTCCTCTTCCCTTTTCCTGGATGCGAGTACCTCCGCGTTGAGTTGTGTCACTGCATTTTGCAGGGCTGCTAGTTGCTGTTCTGTAGTCATCTTGCCTGACTTTTGTGAGCTCGCGAAGCACCAATCTTCTTCCCTCGCTGCGTCCACTCACGTTACGAGGTTTTTGGTGCAAAACTTTTGGAGATGGAGCTTACTGTCAGAGCTGGCTCCAGGTCCCAGCTCACAGAGGACCAACGCTAGCCGGCAGTAATGTACAAAAGTCTTTATTGAAGTACAGTTTCCATTTTCAAGCCGGAGCGCCCCAGCTCTACGTCTAGGGGTTAGATCGGCGAAGCTCCATCTGAGTCTCCGCCCCCCTGTACACCAGTTTAAGATTCTAGCCTTACTCCACCTCTTACGTCTCTCCTTTCTCCTCTGGGTCCTGCTACCCCCCGGGGTCCCTTCCTTCCTGGATTCTTCTGACGCTGACCCCCCTGACGCCTCCCCCTCTTTTCGGCGGGCTTTGGGACCTGGCTCCCTATCCGGGCTGCCAACTGCGCCTCCCTCCTGTACATTTGAACTTGGCGCGCGCGCCCAGCCTTCAACCTTCCTCTCGACCGTTTCCTCGCTCCCCGATGGAGGCGTGGCCAATCCTGACTCATGTCCTCCCACTGGCAGTGCGCCGCCTGATCCCGATGCCTGGGACTCCTCCCCCCCTACTGCACTCTGGTGTGGACGCTGGTCCTGATTTCCAACTGCTGCTCTCTGAGTCCCCTCTGGCCCCTTCTTCCTGGGGTGTCCCCTCGGCACCCCCTTGCTCTGACCAAGGGAGCCCCTTTCTGTGAATCTTCCGATTCGCTGGAAAGACTCAGAGACCTCGGACCGCTGTCATCGCTAACATTTCCTTCGGACTCCTCCCCCTCGCTCTCTATTTCCTCCCTTTCCTGTGCCTCTGCTCCTGAACCCCTGACAGTATGTCAAAACACTTCTGTGCATGCGGAGCTGCCACCGCATTACAGTGGAATTGGGAATACTTTTATGCAGAATTTTCGCATGCACACTGAAACTCTGGACTAGAGCCCCAATCCCTGTTTTCCCTTCCTGCTACTTAGCATTTCTGTCAATATAAAAGCTTTCCATTTGAATCAGTGCCAAAGTAATTCTTTCATGTTACTGAATGCAGGAGCACCATAAAAGGGAGGTGAGTTATGTCACTTGTTCATGTATGTCAAGCTGCAAGATATCAAACCTTGTGATTTCTTTTTTCTTCTTCTCCTAGATGCCTATGTGAGAGGGTCGGGCGCTTCTACTTCAAATGCTTGTACGTTGTCAGCCATCAGCACAATAATGATTTCCCTCACAGCTAGATCAAGTTTATGACAAAAAATATCTAAAGGACTTCCTGTTTATAATATAACTAAGCAACATTTAGCTAGTTGTTTTGAAGACACCCAGTACTAAGTAATATTGTTGTTCGAGTACATCTTACTACTGGAAAAAAAAAATGTTTTATGCTTCTCTAGGAATGGCATTATACAGTACTTCCTCAAAGCAAATATAGCTTTGTCTGAAGTTTCTTTGGAAACTCTGCAATGCACTGAAAACATCTGTAATACGATGTTACCAAAGCAGTTTACATATGTCCTTATATGCATATTTTTTATTATATATTTAGTGTTTTATAGACTTTTTTAAAGTTAACATATGATGTAGATATTAATTTCTTTCCCCCTCTGCTATGAAATGCTATTGATGGCATTTACTGTTGCAAAAATACATTGTTTTGGAATGTTTTATAGCCAGGTCGAAAGTTCTCAGTACACTGGTTTCAAATTGATTGTATAGTTTTACAAGAGTGCACTGGCAAAGCTCTTTTGACCTCGATCCATTCTTCAAGGTACCTGGGCTTATCTGTACACAGGTAGGATCCCAAACAGGCATTATATGAAGTCTTCCCTCCCCTCTCCCTGATGGCCTCAAGTCAGGTTTGCTGCTGCTATTGCAGCGCTTGTGGGCACTGGGCCTTATCTATTGGCCATTCCTAGCCCCTGATGCACAGACGACTTCCACATGGAAGGGATGGAGTGGGCTGCTAGATAACTATAAATGTCCGGTGCCAGCAGTACAGCCACCTGGAGGACTGGGAGAGGGAAGAGGAAGGTTCACTGGAATACTTTTTCAGGATCCTTTCCCCCTCTATGTGCAGAGGAGGAAGATGGATCATGCTGCTATTTAAAGCAGCTAGAGTGGTTTTGTTTTTTGTTTAAATGACATGTAAGGTGTTCATTCTTGGATCGAATTACAAAAAAAGACAAATCTAAAACAACTTTCAATGCATTTGCTTTCAGGTTTGTGTAAGTCAACTGCATAGTATCAGCTAGCTAATACTTTAATGATGCATAGCAAAGATTTTCATTTGAATGTACTTGAGTTTTCTCTAAAAATTTAATAAATATTAAATTGAACATTTGTTCCATTTAGTCATGATCGCTCCTATAGTAATGTAGACCAGACGTTGCTACAGCAAAGGACAAGATGCTGAATGCAGTGAAAATCTTGAAATTCCACCCTTTGAGCAATTTATGTAATTCTGGATTTGCACCATTTTAATAAGGAAGTCTGTGCGTCTGTGAGACTTTAAATGAAACATAATTATGCTGATTTCTGTGTTGGAACATGTTTCTTTTGACAGGTATATGTTTAACTGTAATTCTCTATAGTTTGGTTTCATAAACTGAATTACAAAATTATCTCTGTTTTTATGATTTTTGTTTGAGTATAGGCTATAAGCTAAATCTAATAAATACCATTCTAGTGAATACTTCCCTAAAAAGGCTTTTTTCCATTAAAAAAAATTATATGTATGTCTGGGTGTCTCTATGCACTTCCAAATAGCTCCTTTATTTTAAGATATCAAACCCTCTTGCCTTTTTGCTAGCACAAGTGAACAGAACCCAACACCTGAAGAGTGTTCTGAAGACCTAGCTTTAATTTTCTTGACAAGCTCTTTATACATATCTAGCATGTTGATAAAATCTTATTCAAATGTGACAGTGATTGTAGTCCATCATGACATTTTCTCATGAAGCTGTCATCCATTTCCATTAAAGCTTGGGTTGAGCACTATCTCCACTGACTTGGGTGTGCATACTGGTTCTCAATGAAGAACATATGAACTTCTGCACAAGCTTGCACATGCAGAGCTCCATCCATGCTCCACTCCATGTGTTCACCAGAGTCTGGGAAGGTATATGAACCATGCCCAGAATTTAAAAAGAAAAAATATATTAATACAAAAGATTTATTTGTTACTGGGGTAAAATTTTGTACATATGCTCAGATGGAACAATAATAATTAAGACATGAATGAAGCTTTCTGTTCATTCTTTTCCCCAAATTAAAAAAAAAAATGCACTGCAGAGGTTTATAATTTGTTCTTCCTGATAGTTTAAATTTGCCTGTAACTTGTCTGTTTTGCTTCCAGAACAATACAAGCTAACTTTTAAACTACTTTCAAAATATATTTATTAAGTAACTCATAATCAGGATTCCACTTGTGTAAGTCAGGGGTGTTAACCAGAGAAATATTGTCAGTATTTCAAGCTGTGTTCCTTTCTTAGTTTGATATGGTTACTTCTATGTAAAAACAAAAACAAAACAAAAAAACCCACAAAAGTAAGAAAATGAAAGAAAAAAAGCCTTGTAGTTTTTCTCCCCAGTGTAAATGATATTTATCAGTGATCTAGCAGATGTAATCTTTTTTATAGTTATTGGTAATAAATATTCTGTTATTTGTAAATATTCCTGTGTTTATAGGCATTTTTCCTGCATTTGTGGTGGTTCTTTGTTAAAAAAAAAAAAGGAATGCTCCATGACACTCTTAATCGCAAATATTTGTGTTGTGAAAACACCCAGGATCAATGGTGGACAGATTTCCAAAAACTCAACATGGAATGGGCACCATTCAAACAAACAAACAAACAAAAAACATTATTTAAAAATAATTTTAAAACAAATGTTTATTTCTAATTAAGAGCCTATGCCAATGTTGTAATTGGGATTGTAGGAAGAGCTAGAGGTTTGCTGCCTTCAAACCCTGCAATGAAAGCCCCAAAAGACACACATGCATTCCTCATTTCCAAACTTGACTATGCATGGCAGTAGCAAAGGCTCGCAAGTCAGAATGCCATTAAACCCTAGACACTCAAGACTAAGAACCTTTGGAAATGTACTTCCCATGGTTCCTGGTGTCTTTAAGGATACTAGTGACCCCTCACTGCGAAAAGGTTCCTGGTGCCCTTTCTGGGGATGTCGGAAACCACAGGAACCATATTTCCTAATCCTGATATTCTTGGAAACTGTGTATGTGCTTGTAGCAATATCCAGGAGCCTAAGTTTGGGAATGATAGACAGAGCTACAGAAGTTCACAGCAAGGTGCCAAGAAGCAAAGGCTGAAACGGCAGACAGCTGGACTTCGAATACTGCCTAGTTCAATTTTCAGCACCTCACTAGCCAAGATGCACCATTTATTGGGTTGGCTGATCAATTTATCTGGTGACACATCAAGGCTGCAATTCTACACTTACCTGGGAGCAAGACCCATTGAGTAGACAAGCAGAGGCTTATGCTGCAAGTGGATCAGTTGCATATTTATTATTTCATTTTCCCTTCCTTGCAACTATATTTAAGGTGCAAAAATGTAGCCAGCCTTTTGAATTTGCTCCAGAAGAAAAGGGCATTAAAGGGTATAAAGCCTAGCCACTGCCCAGTAGCAGGTATCTGAAAAGGAGTTGTGGAGACTCAAGACCAGAAGCTTAAGCCCTAAACCATTTCTCCTTCTGTTCATAGTGGTTTCCCATTCATTTCAATGAAGCAGTGAACTGTGACCACAAAGGGATACAGGTAGCCCTTCCGTGTGAGAAGTTCTGTGTGTGTACATTGCATCAAAAATAGGGCATTGGGTCTGGGACGTGGCTAGCAGGAGACTAAATTGTTCACTACATGATAAAAGATTTCAAACATAAATGTTTATCGAAACACAAGAGCTCAACAAGAGCACATACGAACTCACACACTATTATAGGTATGCAGCTGCAACATAGATTAGCATTCTCATACAGGATATCAAAACAAATGAAAATGCATTCATATTATAAGCTCTGTTGTATTCTTGTATTATTTATAGCACAATCAAAATGTTACCTATATAACTTGCCCTTCCAACGACTGTCCTGTTATAGAGACTAAGGTTACCTATGTTAATTTTCCTTCTAAAAAACCAGAGCCTGGTTTACATAGAGGCTCTCTTCATGGTAGGTAGGTAGGTAGGTAAAGAAGGGATCACACTGTATCCCCTCATACCTTCTATTTTAGTGCCACCTTGAATGCATCTTAACTGTGGCTCTGGAATAGTAGATCTGCACATAGCTGCACATCACCTGCAGTTACTACGGAAACACTATCATTATGTTGGAAGCCACCCAGAGTGGCTGGGGCAACCCAGCCAGATGGGCGGAGTACAAATAATACATTATCATCATCACCATCACTAAAAGAACAGCATAGGAAAGAATTTTATTTCTGCCAGATGTTCAAGTAGCAGCACAAATCCTAAAATGAAGAGGTTAAAGTCATTCACATCATGCTGGAAGCTATGGATTATAGGAAGTGGAGTCCAAGCAATAGCATGGCTCAAACAAGAAAACAAAATTTAAATTATACAGAATGGTCAAGGGTGTAAAAGCTGTATCCGGGAGTTTTCTCAAAAACCAGCAAAACTGGCCATCGATTACTTGGGTTTTGCTGCAGTAGCATAGACCAGGGGTCAGCAAACTTTTTCAGCAGGGGGCCGGTCCACTGTCCCTCAGACCTTGTGGGGGGGCCGGACTATATTTGGGGGGGGAAATTGAACAAATTCCTATGCCCCACAAATAACCCAGATGCAGTTTAAATAAAAACACACATTCTACTCATGTAAAAATATGCTGATTCCTGGAATGTCTGCGGGCCAGATTTAGAAGGCGATTGGGCCGGATCCGGCCCCCGGGCCTTAGTTTGCCTACTCATGGCATAGATTCAAAGCCCTTGGCAAGGAATAATTTCAGTACCTTGTGATACATGTGCTGGGTGGGTTTCTTATACTTACTGTGATTTGTGGAATTTCCCTTTCTTGTGAAACATCCCTGTGTGTCTGGTGCCAGTGATGCAATCTTCTTGGCAGCAGGCATCTGCTAATAGTATATTTTATATATTAATAAGCTACCTTGAATCCAAAGCAGATGAAGGGTGATATAAAAACGTTTTCATTCATAAATAACAAATAAATAACGAAAGGATATATTTCATTTTTTAAAAAAGTTTCCTGAAAACCAGAAACAGGACTATGGCTCTTCTTCATTCTGTGATTTGCCATCTCTGCTGTAACAAGGGGAACCTTCACTGATATTACTTCTTATGGAATATTTGACATGACAAATGATTTGAAAGGTCACAGTGGCTTTAATGGCAAATTAAGGGACGAAATTTTACATTTTAGTCATGACAGCTTTATGGAGCATCCTGATTTTGGAAGCGGTATGGTGCTCGGAAGCAAACATGCAAGGGGCAGAGATTGCCATGAAGCGTCATTTTGGATTTCCTTGTGGTATCAAGATTGACCACCACGTAAAGTGCAATGCTAAAATAGGAGGATGTTTGGTCTGATTGACCAAGGCTTTATTTTGGGGGGCAATTCTAATGGAAACTGGAGACGTAAGACTAGGATCAAACTCGATGTGGTTCAGCATGCCAATTTTTGTGCTAAATTGTGGTTTTTAGAATCTTATGTCATGGAACCATAATCAATTTAAAAAACAACAACTCTACAATTTGTGAGCATCACCATATCCTTCTGGCAGTACATTCCATAAGTAATTTACGCATGGGGGGGGGGAACGACTTACTTTTCTTGGATCGTCATCTCCCACCAGTTTCATTGTAACAGCTTCAGTGATTTGCTTGTAGGAATGCATTATTATGAAGAACAAAGCTTTGTGACATTTTGCTCATCTTTGGGTCAAAGGATACCGCTGCAGTATATGACAGTAATGTCTTTAACAGTAGCAACCTCTAAAACTTCCTTGATAGAACTTAGCTAGGTTTGTTACAAAACCATTGCAATATTTTAAGCAATACTGGATTCCTTTGTCGTTTATTTTGAGATCAGATTCAACATTGAACTGCATCCATATTTAATAACAGACTGAAGAAAGTTCCAAGGCAGTAAAGCAGAGCTCCTCAAACTAACTCCCAGGGTCTAAGCATTGCTTTTGATTTCTTTACTTTATTCACTGATGTAGGGCCCTCTGAAACTCATGTGGTTCTAGAGAACAAACCGAAAGATATTTCTTTTATTCTTCAGATAAAAAGGGAGTTCAAAGTAGAACCATCATTGATATCCTTCACTTGTACCTAAATTGTACTCTTAAGAAGCTGCTGCTTTGCTACAAACCTGGTTTTCGTAATCATAGCTACAAAGGGATGGGATATTTCATCGGGAGACATAAGGGAAACGATGTTGGGCCATGCCTACCATCTATGATGTGTGTATTTCAACAAGGGCTAGATTCATACGTCACTGAAGTTCGCAAGTAATAAGGGTTCTGGTCAGTCATATGCTGATGATCATAGCAGTGTCAGAATACAAAATGTCACTACACAACAGTAAAATAGCAACAGCAGCATCTTATTCCTCAGAACTTTTTACAAAACGTATTCTAGGCAGGTGGTGAAAGATGAAGGTTGTATCCAACTAAGTCATTGAACTCCACTCACACAAAAGCTGGAGCTCCCCCTCCCTCTCCCCCCCCCCAAAATATCTGTTCTGGGTGTTCCCCCAACTCTCCAAGGCACATTTGGGGGTAGTACAAGGGGAGTTAGGAAAGTGGGGGTGGAAGAAATGCCCAAGGACTTAGTTGGATTCTAAACTACTATAGGTAGGTAACTGAAAGTCAACAGTTTACAGTATAAATTGGGAACAAATGGTGTCCCCTACTCCTTGATTCAATGTCGCAGAAATATAATGTACATTTCACAATTATCAAAATGTTTCTCAGCAGTGGGGTTCATTAAGAATGACATTAAAAGCAGGAAAGAGAAAAAGATCTCATGCACACAGCCCTGAGCAACCTGGGTTAAGGGCAGGAAACAAATGTGATAAATTTGTTTGTACTGAATACCGTAAAAGTGCATAGGGTTTGATCTAATGCCTAATGTTTCCATCTGTACAATAAGGTGAGTGATGCTTAAACTTTATAAAAGGCCTTGAAATCTATGAATGTTACCCTCTGACAAATAATGCTCATGAAATAAAGGAGATGAAGTCAATCAGATAGTGAAAATCACAACTACGTTTCACTACCTAAACTTCAGGGCAAAATGGCAAAAAGAGACACACAAATATTACATAGGAGTGATCCATGGTTGTAAAAAGAATGATCCCTTAGTCATTGGGAAAGAAGGGGTGGAGTGACTAAATTCTTGAAATGCAAGAATCGAAGACCAGCACATGAGAAATCACAAAAAGTAGGACTGTCAAATCATAAAGAACAAAAACTGAGTTAGAGATAGCAGCTGACTAATTTATTTCAACAGTTGTTTTAAAAACAATGGGTGGTATCTAATGGTGTCTACCCACTTATGCAATGGAGTTTTGCTTATGCAAGAGGACTTCCAGTTTCTCCCCTCTCCAGACCCCTCACATGCCCTAAACATCTGCTCCAGAGGGTGACTCAACCCTCTAGAACACATTCTCAGGGTGTGCAGTGGGGAGGAGAGAAAGGAAAAGTCCTGTTGCATGAGGTCCGCTTGCACTCTGTTGGATCTTACCCATAATGCAAAATTTTGGGTTGCAATCCGGTAAACATATTAAGGCTACACCACATCCTCCGAGATATAATTCACCACACACTCTCCTATGCAATTACCATCTGTATTGACCAAGTGCAATGCTTGGTTGACTAAATCTTAACAATATTATCAAGGCACACAAAAATACAGTGGTGCCCCGCAAGACGAATGCCTCGCAAGACGGAAAACCCGCTAGACGAAAGGGTTTTCCGTTTTGGAGGTGCTTCGCAAAACGAATTTCCTATGTGCTTGCTTCGCAAGACGAAAATGTCTTGCGAGTTCCTGCGGGGTTTTTTTCCTTTCCCCCCCCTTTTTCCCAAGCCGCTAAACCGCTTATCAGCTGATCGGCTAAGCCGCTTAACAGCTGATCGCTAAGCCGCTTATCAGCTGATCGTTAAGCCGCTTATCAGCTGATCCTTAGCCGCTAACAGCTGATCGCTGCCGCTTATCAGCTGATCCGCTAAGCCGCTAATACTGTAGCGCTAATCCGCTAAACCGCTAATGGGCTTGCTTCGCAAGACGAAAAAACCCGCAAGACGAAGAGACTCGCGGAACGGATTCTTTTCGTCTTGCGAGGCACCACTGTAAGCTGTGTGGTTCCATCCAAATAGCAAATATATTGGTGGCATATTGTGGGAAAGTGTGCACCACACTCCTTCCCTTCAGATGTAACACTTTTATTTACAACTACTTACCTGTATCCAGGTCTTTTTTCTCCTGAATTCGGAACACAAAGACTGCAAAATCAAATCCAGTGTTCTTCCATAGAATACTATAATACAGCCTCAGAGTTCAGGGATCTGGGTTTTGTTTTTTTGCTTTTAGTAGCTACATTGCTAACACTTGTTCCCCTTAGTCAAGACTCAGCTGCGTTTAATTTTCCACAGCTGATTTTCACTTTAATTAAAAACAATCCAAAAAGATTTAAGCACTAATCTCTAAGGCCTGTTTTCTTGCCTATCCTAAAGGATAACAAAAGGAAGGTAGAAAGGCTCAGATAATTGACTTTTATGGAAAATGTAATATTTGGATGTACTGTTTTTAGTTTGTTGCCAAAACCCTTCCGGGAGCAGAAGACTTGTTCTATGTACAATATAAACCATGAGCATTATTGAAATGAAGGGGAAGTTACTCACCGCTGCTAACTGGCAGACTGTACCCCAATAATGATGATTCTGACAACTAAACAAAAGGTTAGTCAGTTTAATGGTAAGGTGATGTGATGTAATGAGCTTGTTCAGACAATTATAAACTGGCTTAATAACCTGAGATATGAATGAAACTTCCAGGGAAACAGTAAAAAAAACAAAACCCAAGGAACTATTACTATCAGACCAAAAGAGGGGGAATTGTGGGGGGACGGACGGATGGGACCAAATATTGCTTAATATGCGTCCGATCCATTTCAGAACAATTCCTTTATCAAGGGCACTTTTAAAGCAATTTCTCTTGTTGCTTTTATCAGCATGCCTTTGCTAAAGAATTTTTTTTCCTGAAATGTATGGCGCTTATAATAAGCACCTGGAGTTTCTTTCCCCTGCCTGCCTTGGGGGGGGGGGGGCTTTAAACTGCTGATAGGGGTTTTGATTCAACAGAGGTCTCATTCTACCAGAATCCATTGGTGATTCTACCACAACACAAGCTCCTGCTTCACCTGCCAAAGGTGCAGACTATGGTGATAGGTGGTGCTTTATATGTGGCAGTTTATCTGCTACTCCAAGTCACAGTTCTGTAATTAAAATTTAATGGTTCATCTGAGCTGAGACACTACAGTGAATGGCTTTGGAACAAGGTAGGATATTAATACAGCTACAAAGAATGGTTTCAGAAACCGCAGTTTCCTAGTACAGATGGAAATGGAAACTATGGCTAATGGAAGATTTCCTAGTTTGTTAACCCACTCATTGAAAGAAAGAAGCAAAGCTTGTTCATATTTTGGTTTAGTAAGCCAAGATACGATCATCCAAATGTGACAGATGGTCATGGTCAAAACAACAATTTACCCTGTATAGTTGGGAAGACAAATTCAGCATGACAAAGATTCTTTGGAAAGGAAAAATGACTCTTTACATTGCTCTTTCCCCATCCCCCTAAAAAGTCCTTCATGTGTCCTTTACAGTAAGAGTCACCTCTATGGGAGAAGCTTGCGAAGTAAACACCACCAAAGCTAAAAAGTACAGGAGTTTGCATCACACCAGAGGCTCAAAAGACCACACGGCATACCAGATTCCAAAAATATTTTTATAATAATAATCTTATTGTGTATATTTGGGGAACTGGTATTTTTGTACAGTACACAGACTCAAGATATTACTTATCTTTCATAGTTCTTTCACAGAAAAAGCATATTCAAATTACCATTCATAGTCACAGCAGACACATTATATAAATCATTCACTTTCATTTCCTAGATATGCAACTGAGAGACAATAACTTCATGGGTAACAATGCAAACAGACACTGTGAAGGGGCTGGTCTTGCTGTGCAGACCAGAGAAGTGACAACAGTTAGTAAATTCTAATTCAGCTTTCATGTTTTGAATTCCAGTTTGTAACACAATCCACTGGACCACCCTGGCTTTCCGAAGAAAACCCATGGAACATAGGAAGCTGCTTTATCCTGAATCAAACCATAAGGCCATCTAGCATAATATTGCCAGTCACTGCTTTTTGCGTGAAAACACACTGTGCAAAAGTTGCCCTCTTGGAATCAATATTCAATATGCTTGATTGCATGGTTTGTTATTGCTAGCACTATCATTTTTTAACCTTGGGCCTTTCATACTCCACATCCCCAAGCCCAAAGACAGCAACCAGCCTGGAAAAGAGGGAAATTGTGTACACCTGTCCACATTTTGGAGAGCCAAGTTTTCTGTTCCATTCAGATCTCCATCGAGTCTGCATGCACAAAACTACACTTTTTTGGTGATAGATATGAAATTTTTATCTCTGCAAATGCTCTAAATCAATCAAGGAGAATATCATCACTGGGCTAGCTGATAACTGAAACTATAGGAAAATTGAATTATGAACAACAGTTGCTGGGAGGGGAAGCCAACTTGAACAGTTGGTAAGCAACATGAAGAATTAACGAGGAAGGAGATGAGCTAGAGAGCTGTATTTAATGGCAACTCAGACTAGTCATCCAAAAAATTCAGCTGTAACAGTAGATTTCTGAATGATTTTTTCAGCCAGGGACAGTAGTACTCTATGATGGAAAGTGGAAATGCAATAATGAGGTGAAAGAAAGAAGAGAGAATGCTCATCACAAAAACACATTTTATACCGCAACTTTAAACTTTCTGAGACTAAAAGCTGCTTAGTTTTTTTTTAAAAAAAATAAACTGAAAATTCTGTGCTAGTCTATTTTTAAAAGTTAGTTTTGTATTTATGTCAGGAGCAAGGTAAACCAGGAGAAAACTAGACCATAATCACCATGATCACATCAAAGAATGTATCAGCAAAGAGAGCATTGTTACACAGATCGATCAGCACAGATGAAAACACACAAGGCATTGAGCAAACAAAGAGAAAGCAAAGTCACAACTACATGAATGGTAACAATAAACAGGAGGGTTTGTTAATAGAAAACTAAGGAACACACCTCAAAAAGAACGACAAATGTGTACATGAAACTAGTTGTGCTGGATAGTTATCCATTAATTTCTATAAACAAGTATACTGTATAAACTACTGAAGTTTTAATTTATGGTATTTTATTTTTCATGAGAAATACTGACTGAGGAATGTAGAAGACTGCTGTGTGTGAATTTATGAAGCTGGAGAAATGAGCAGCACCTGAAAAGATTCACAGAAGTGGATGGCTATATTTAGGTCCTGAAGTAGAAAATGTAATTTCATTTCACTTCCATTTCAGTCTACTTTTTTTTCTCTTCTAGTGAAGCTGTTAAAGTTGGGATTTGACTTGAGGGCCTAATTTTTAGGAATAATTTTATCTTCAGCTTTCAAGCTTTACATGACAAAATACAGGCTACAATCTAGAATGGTCCTGCAGGCAGCTCTAAGGGGGTTGACATTACCCTGTCAAGACTTTTGGTTTTTCTCTGTACTGTACACAAGAGCGCTTCATGCTCCATCAAAAATTACCTTCGACTCTCTTCCAATTGTAAAAATGGCTCATCATCCTGCTACATAGGAGAACCTTATGAACCAGAAAAAAATGGTTAAAGATCATGCCAGCAATGCACAACTAGTATGTGAGGTTTTCATACCAGACATGCTTCACCACAGCATTCTGCAAGGCATTTCAGAAAGCAATATGGATTGTTCCTTGCTAATACTGTACACAGCACAGTTTGAAGGTTTGCATTGTGTGAAGTATCAAGTCTAAGACAACTTACAGAACATTTGGAAAATGTAAAAATATTTTACATAATGCTATACATTTTGTATGATTGCACTTGTCTGAGATTTGGCTGAGTTTTTTGTGTTTTTTTAATGGAATGGCTGTATAAATACCAGGTTTATGTCCTGCAGTTATAGCAAAACATGCAAAAACCTGGAAACAGAATTTGGAAACACGTTTTGCAAGTGCAACAGGCCTCTGCAGCTGTTTAATTTTTATATTGATTAAGTCAGTCACCATAATTATTATCTGTATTTTTTATTATTTAAAGTCTTTCATTTTTTAACATTGATATTTTATGGCATGGCACTATAGAAACTTTTATAAATTTAAATAAATAACCCCCTTTGCATTTACTGTTTTACATTTCTATGTACAATGGGAGTATTAATAATGGTTTTTGATGGTTTTTTTTGTTAATGTACAGATCTATACATTTTACATAAGATTTCCTTTAATAGGGTGAGACCTTCCTCCTTTCTAACTTTATCGTTGTTTCCCCTCAGTTGCATTGTGTTGCATCAGGTTTTTATACTGTGGGTGGTATTCAACAGTTACTCAGCATAGGTATCTCTAACATGCTCATTCATTTCAATGGGTCTACTCTCAAGTAAAATTTAGTTGAAACAAGGCTGCATTTATTTTTTACATGCAAACAATGCATTGCCATGGTTGAATTCTAGCTTTTTGGTTTTTTCCTTAGTTCCCACCAATTTTCCATTTCTGTTATTCCCGGATTAAAGCAAGTGGAGGCTGATTGTTTAGGACGTGGGTCGCCAACTTGGTGTCCGTTTGGAGATGCCAGACTCTTTGAGCTTTCCTTAAAACAAGAAAAAAAGCAACTTTCCAGCCCTTCTAGAAAATTACGAAGCAAAGTGCGCCCTTCTGGAAACTGACTTCCTTTTATGAGGGGCTGGTGTCCTGCTGCTTAGTCTGCATGTTATATATACAAATTCAATTGTTTTTAAATGATTGCCCCCACACGCTATGTCTAGAGCTGTTCTTATTTTATTAGGCTTGCCAAACGTCAGGAAAATTCCTGACATGCCCTTGTTTTCGGGTGTAAAAATGGTCAGGGTGGAAGTTTGACGAAGCGGCGATAGAAACTCGGCTCCAACAGCTTACAATTACTTAAGGGGGGGGGGGAGAGCTCAACAATTTGGGTTTGTTGCCAAAAAATGCTTAACAATTTTGGTGGTTTCCAAAAAAAAAAAAAAAGGCTCAACAACTTTGCGGGTGTCTTTTACTTTTTGAAATATCACAACCCTAATTTTATCCACAAGCCGCCTTGAGTCCCTGTCGGAGGAAAAAGTGGGGTTATAAATAAATAAATGCAAAACAATAATGACGGCAGCAGCAGCAGCAGCAACACCCTGCTAAGCTAATTTTTGGCGCAAACCTTTTCTGCGAAGCGATAAATAACTAGAAACAAGCCCTTCAGGAAAGCCACGCTGTCGCCTGCGCGCTGAGGCGCTAAACGCAGAGGAGCCTCGTCGGAAGACGGAGGCGGCCCCAAAACCCGCGCGCCGAAAGGCCGCCCCTCGAAGCTCGACCCCACCCGGAGCGCCGGGGCTGAAGGAGGAGCGGCTCCACCAACCCGCCTCCGGAAAGGAGGAGGAGGGGCGCGGCCTGGACTTTTTTACTGCTCCTCCTCCTCCTCCTCCTCCTCTTCCGTCGCTTGGTTTTGAAGCCCACGACGCGTTTCCTGCTAGGAGCAGCGGCGACGGAAGGTGCTAGCCGGGTGGAAGCGAGCAAAGCAAGCAAGCCAGCGCCTGGGTGAGTGTGGCTGCTCCTTCCTCCCCCTCCCCCTCCTCTTGCCAAGCTGCTGGAGGTGCTCCATCCCAAAATGCACGAGCCTGAGATTCCGCAGGCTGCGCAGAACGCGGGTCCTCCTCGCCCCTGCTTGTATCTCAACCAGCTTTTGCGCGCACGGAGCTTGCTGCCATAACCATGCTCACCTGTCCAGGCCTCCGCGTAGTTCAGTTAGGGAAGGGATGCGGGCGTGGGGAGGGCTGACGTCACCTGCCCCCCACCTGCCTCCAAGGGGGTCCACTGCGGAGCCTCCGCCCACCCGCTGCTTTTCCTCGCTGTCTGGTCTGAGCATGCAAAGCAGTAGCTTCCAGAACTTGCCTTTTGCGTTCTTACTCGGGGCCACCTTCCCCCCCCCCCCCACAACTCTCATCAGAGAAGTAGACATCATGAGTACGGAATATGTGGTCCCACAGAGGCCTCTGAAGGGCAATAGTTTCCCCATCTCCCCCTCTGTGCATGATAGCATCCGCACACTGTGCACATTTGATTAAAACTGTGCTTCCAGCATACCCATGGGTTGGGTTAACCTAGCCATTTCAGCAGGGCATGAACATATGCCAAATTCCTTTCCATTTGAGGCATGCGGTGGTGTTCTTATGCTGGAAAGCATAAGAGAGAAATTATGCACCCAGAAGCAAACTATCTGAGCTGCTTAGCAAGTGTGGCCCATAGGGAATTTTGAGCCTCTTATGAAAATGGTATAGAAGTATTATTAAATGAATGAAATATTTGAAATACTCACCTGTGCCCTTTTCTTTAGATGTGGCATCACCTGCTGCTTCTCGGCTGTAAAGCAGGTGTTCCCTTCTCCCCGCACAGCAGTACAGGGGTTAAAATCCTGTGGCGGTGTTTAGGCACCATGAAACTAGAGTCCTCGGAATTCCAATCCCTCTTCACACCAGGACTGAAGAGCGTTGCAGGTACTAACGTTTCTCTATTATTACTACTATGGTTTTATGGTTGTTCAGGACCCAGCTGGTGACGGAGTGTAGAACAAACCCCAGAGCACCAGTGATAACGGACATCAGAAATGAAATGGGAATTTTGCTGCTGGGGGAAGGGGTTTGCACCAATCCTTTTAGCAGCGTTGGTTCATTTCAGTACAAGAAAAGTCATTTAGAGCTGAAGTAAACTATTCCTGTTCTGAGAGGGCACAAATGGACCCAAGATATCTTGGTTTTATTAACTGATAGATGGAATCATCATTTCTGCTAGTGAAATCACATCAACCTTAGTGGGCTTGAATTAGTACAAGTGGCAGTTACTACTCTCAAGATTTTTTCAAAAAAAGTTTTTCTAATGATTGTTTTTTCCCTCCACCGCCCAGAATTATTTGACAAAGCAAAGTATGAATTGAGGATAGCAGGAGGTGCAGTAAGGGACTTACTCAATGGAATGAAACCACAAGATGTTGACTTTGCCACCACTGCTACTCCTACTGAGATGAAGGAAATGTTCCAAGCTGCAGGTGTCCGAATGATCAACAACAGAGGGGAAAAACATGGAACTATCACTGCCAGGGTAAGAAGATTTTGCAAGTCCCAGGCTGGGAAAGTCTGCTCTTTAACCTGCTTTCATAGATAAATATGTATTTATTTACTTCAAATTTGTTTCTAGAAATATAAGGCACTAAATGTGAATCTCCACCACCCTTCCACTAGATATCCTACTGTAGTGTCGGCGAATGTTTGTGAATATCCTAATAGCTAAGGACAGATGCTCAGTATACAGAATGTTAACAATTAGGTTGCATGCAGTCTAATGGGACATGCAAATAATTTAGTTTCTTTCCATGTGAAAAAGGGGTGCTGTTATCAAAAAGGTGAACAAATGCTTTTACAAAATTCTGTTATAGCTCCATGAGGAGAACTTTGAAATTACCACGCTTAGACTTGATCTGGTTACTGATGGGAGACATGCGGAAGTGGAATTTACAACTGACTGGGAAAAAGATGCTGAGAGGAGAGATCTCACAATCAATTCTATGTTCTTAGGTAACTCCCCTTCACAACCCTCTGACGTGCCATTCTAGTTTAAAGCCAGGCCACCCACACAACTTTTTACCTGAACAAATCTTTGGTCCGAAGTCAATTGCTACATCTCGCTTGTCAAAAGTAATTGGGGTGACCAGATTGAAAAATTCCTGGGACCCACATACTATATATGCAGCAAGCTTGAGTTGCCTGGCGGGGAGAGGGATATAAATGTAACCAAAAAAAAGTATTTATTATTTCTTTGACTAGTTTATGTGACATGGACAATTGGAACCCAGCACAAAAGTTTCAGTGTGGAGTGCTCGCATTGAGAGTTTCAGACAGCAGCCCTGCCCATTTCCAGGAGACTTCATTTCTTTTCCCATCTCTGTTCCTCCATTCCCCCTTCCCCACAACAAACTCTTGGGGTTCTGTGGCCACTGAGCAAGCTCAATTCTCACCAGGCTGTTTTTTATTCCCTGCCCCCTTCCTCCTAAAGTCTTTTTGTACTTCCGCATATTTTGGGATTCCTCAAGTCTGCTGATATTCATCTCTTGTTGCATGGTGCTATTTTGGCTTCATTAGGCCTGCATGTTGAGAAGGTTATTTTGGCATGTAGGCAACCATGGTTGAACTTTCTGGCAGCCTACCTCTATCAAAAATACTTCACTGAAGTAAACTTGTGAACTGAAGTAAACTCATGCCTTTATTTGCTTTGTAGGTTTGGATGGAACACTCTATGATTATTTCAATGGCTATGATGATTTAAAAAACAACAAAGTCAGATTTGTCGGACATGCAAACCAGAGAATACAAGAGGATTACCTAAGAATTCTGCGATACTTCAGGTAGCTTTCGGACAAGATTATTGGGGCTGCCCTTGAAGACAACTCAGAAACTACAACTGGTCCAAAGCACAGCTGCCGGATTGCTGGCTGGGGTTCGATTTAGAACACATATAACCCATGCCTAACTTTGTGTAAAAGTTAGCTGGTGGCTCATGCTTTTAGTTTTTATGTGTTTTTAATTGTGCATATAAAATTGTTTTAAGCTAGTTTGGTATTTTTTATGAAGCTGCAGTATACAAGTATTTTTGAACAGCTTCACGTCTTCGCTCACCCAAGAGGGGGGGTGTGGACCCACACTGAGACAGTGCACCAAGGCATTGCTCATTCAGCTCTCCCTTTTTCTCTTCAGGTTATTCAATATCCGTATGTGGTACTAGCATCTCAAATGTCTGCACTTTCAAAAAGGATTATTTTTAGTACAGGCAGTGAGTGACCATTTTAGGTGCGTCCAGTTGGCCAACAGGATAGCTCAGTTGGTTAGAGTGTGGCCCTGACACGTGGGTGCTTTTGGACCTGGAAGAGGGCAGGATGAGGGCTGGGAATGGAAATGTTGCATGAAATGGTCACCACCTGTATTATTTATTGAATTTCTATACCACCCTACCTCCAAAGATCTCAGGGCGGTTCACAGCATAAAATGCAGAATAGAACAATAAAGTACACAATAAAAACAATAACACCCCCTCCCACAAACACATTTAAAAGGACACAGACTGATAATCAGCCAAAGGCCTGGTTGAAGAGGAATGGTGATAACCAGCATTCCAACTTGACATTTGATAAAAACAGATTTGCTCCAGGTACTAAAACTGATCTCTCTCTCTCTCTCTTTCCCCATGCCAGATTTTATGGACGGATTGCAGGAGAACCTGGCCACCATGAACCTGAGACTCTGGAAGCAATCAAAGATAATGCCAAAGGTTTGGCTGGAATATCGGGCGAGAGGATTTGGGTGGAGTTGAAAAAAATTCTTGTTGGAAACCATGTCAATCATCTCATCCGCCTAATGTACGAACTGGATGTGGCTGGCTATATAGGTAAAGTGCTGTGTTTTACATAGCAGTAATGCTTATCTCAGCCAGAGGTAGCAGTGGGGGAAAGTGACATAACCTGCAGTGAATATCTCTGTCCTTTGTTTGAACACAAGAAGAGCCTGTCAGATCAGACCAGAGATCTATCTAGTCCAGCATTCTGTTCTCACAGATGCACAATAGCATTCCTGTGGGTGTGTTGCAGTAACTATTATGCCCATGCAGTGTATCTAAAGCTGCTCTGATAGGCACCAGGCAAAAACTATCATTTATAACCAGGCCTTTGGCCTTTTACAATCTGTGGCCTTTCAGAAGTGGGTGGGATGTTTCTATTGTACTTTTCCCCCCTCTTGGTCTTAATGTGGGATTTTTTGTCTTGTTTGCTTGTGAGTTGCTTGGGTTGCCCTGGACAAGATAAAGTGACTAACAAATTCAATAAACAATAATACAGTCGTACCTTGGAAGTCAAACAGCTTAGTTGCCGAACATCTTGGCTCCCGAATGCCGCAAACCCAGAAGTGACTGTTCTGGTTTGCGAACTATTTTTGGAAGCCAGACATCTGGTGGGGCTTCCAATTGGCTGCAGGAGCCACTCAGAAGCCACACTTTGGTTTTCAAACATTTTGGAAGTCGAACAGACTTTTGGAACAAATTCCGTTTAACTTCCAAGGTACGACTATAATAGCCCTTAAGTCTAGCAGGCAAGGCTAGGCTCTTCTTCCTTAAGTCAAACTCGCATTAACAGCCCTGCTTGTATATTGGTTGTAGAACATCATTCATCAGTAGTTCCAACAGTTGCCCTGTCCCAGTTCTGGTGCAAGGCGACCAGTTGTGGTTTGGGACTAATGTTGCCACTCGCTACTGCATTCTTGTTTGCCATTTTCTAAACAGCTTTTCTGATTTCTTGGTTTCATTATTCTCATGTTCCTTTTTTGTGTGTCTCCCTCAGGATTACCTGTTAATGGGAGCCTGCAGGAATTTGACACAGTCTGTAAAAATGTTCAGAATCTCTTTCCAAAACCAATGACCGTTCTAACATCACTGTTAAAGGTGCCAGACGACGTCTCGAAACTGGACATAAGGCTGAAAATTTCAAAAGATGAAAGAAACCTTGCACTGTTTCTGCTGAAGCACAGGAGAGACTTGGTCAAAGCTACTGATACCACAGAGCCACTCAAACCATATCAAGAGTTCATTATAGATGTAAGTGACTATTATTATTATTATTATTATTATTATTATCACCATCATCATCATCATGCCACTGCTCTGTGTTGCCCAAGCCACTCTGGGCAGCCTCCAACAAATTATGAAAACACAGTAAAAAGTCAAACATTTCTTTAAAAATACTGTGCCAGAGGCTTTTATTGGATGGTGCTCAACTCTTCAGGTTTTTTTATTACTACAGTAGACACTCGGGTTGCGAACGTGATCTGTGCGGGATGCACATTCGCAACCCGCAGCGTTCGGGACCCGCGTCTGTGCATGCGCAGGTTGCGATTCGGTGCTTCTGCGCATGTGTGGCCGCCGAAACCCGGAAGTAACCCATTCCAGTGCTTCTGGGCTTCGGTGGTCCAGAACCCGAAAAAACGCAACCTGAAGTGGCTGTAACCCAAGGTATGACTGTATTAACCTGCTGTTAGTTACCAGTGCCGCATTGTCTCCCCAAAGCAGATAAAACCTACTGGTTGGGATGAACGCAAGAAGGAAATGGGAATTGGCTTCTTAAAAATACACAGAGAGTGCACTTTAGCTTGTCTACCTCTTTATACCCATTTAGACATAACCATTACCTGAATTTTAGCTGTGAAGGCTCTATGTCGAAACATCGCTGGCTAAGCTAGAGCCGGAGAGAATCATGGGTGCAGTTCAAAAGGTTCTGACACATTATTCAGGAGAGTTCCCCAGGTCTGGCCTTACACAAACTTCCATGATTAACTTTGCTTAGAATCAGAGCCAAGAAAGAAAGGCTTTTAAAGTTGTTGGTGTTGTACTGGAAATGTATAGCTGTTCAGTAAAAATTGTTGTGTATACAGCGTGGTGTGACTGGCTGCAATGCTCATTTGACCATTCAGCCAAGACACTGCAGCATACCAGAACTGAGAGGAGTGAGATCAGCATGTTGCAAATGTGGCAGCAAAGCCAAGCCAGCACCCCTTCTGGTTTATTTGCACCATGCCACCATATTTGTGCCCTGGTCTGTCCTGGTATGCTCAGTGACTCAGCTGTGCAACACAGCCCCGCTACGCCACCCACTGCTGCTGCAGATGTCTTGTGTTCAGGTCTCTCACAATGTTATGATGTGTGTTTTGTGAAGTCAAGGGAGGCTGACTCAGCATCCAGAATCTGTGAGCTTCTGAAGTACCAAGGAGAAGGACTTCTTCTGAAGGAAATGCAACAGTGGTCTGTCCCTTCTTTTCCTGTAAGCGGCCACGACATAAGAAAAATGGGGTTTTCATCCGGGAAAGAAATCGGGATACTCTTGCAGCAGCTGCGGGACACGTGGAAAAAGAGTGGATACCAGATGGGAAAGGAAGAACTCTTAAGCCATGTAAAAAAGGTGTAAAAATAATGATTAAAAATGTAAAGTAAATTGAGTACATAAAATTGTATCAAAGTCTGCATGTAAATATTCCATTGTTCATACTCACTTGGGTTTCAAGCACTGTTGGAATCATCGGGATTATTCTTTTTGATGGATTTTTTTTTTTTACAATTAAAGTGCAAAACATTTCACAAGAAGCTGTGTTCTTCTACTAATGTGTGGTTATATTTTCCGAGTAAGAAATGTATTTTGTATTTTTACTGAACTATTTAAGAATGCCCTTGTGGTGTTAAGTTGTGCTTTGTTCTTCTACGTGCATATGCTGCAAAAGTCTGAAACGGTTTGCAAATTTTATGTTTAGTGCAAGTTTGGGTAATGGTACGACAGCAGTATTTGTCCACTAGGTGGCAGTACATAGGAACCTTTATAGCTGCAAACAAAATACACTGGATCCAGAATTGGCTTCCAGTTAATTACGGACACACCGTTAACACCATATTCATGGAAGACAATCTTACTCAGCTATGAGTGATTGCCAAAGAAGACTGTATTTACACATTAAATGACTTTTGTGGAGGGAAATATTCATTGACTGCTGCTGCTGAAGACAGTTTTACTACCCGAGTCCCAAGATCTGGTAGTGTCAAAAATTGTATTATTTATTTGATGGCAATAATGCTAATAGGTGTATAAGCTTAATCCTGGCCACCAATCCTTCATCTGTCAACCTTTAAAATGATTCTTTGACTTTTTAACAAGCTTCAAGATCGTAGGGAGGTCTGACGTCTTGTATTATAGAAAGCCTTGTTAATTCTTCTGGGCTGTTTCTCAATCTACTGACATGCACAGTGTTCAAGACTCCCCGGTTTAAGGGAACTAAGGAGGCTGCTCAAAGCAGTTCCTTTCTTTTCCTATGTACATCATTTCTGGCTCAGTGCTTCCCTTATATGATAGAAGTGATTTCACTCAGTGTGGCTTCTGTGTCTGTAGACTTTAATGTTTCCTACTGCCATTTACTTTTGGAAACCTAATTGTCACAGGGCATTAGTTTCATGATCACACATGTCCCAAAGCCTTTATTTAGCAAGATGAATTGGGAAAAAAAGCATCAATCCTTACAGTAAATTAAGATAAAGTTGCAGAGCACATGGGTCCCAGTATTCTTCATACATACCGTATTTTTCGCTCTAAGACGCACCTAGTTTTTAGAGGAGGAAAACAAGAAAGCAACGCAAAGCCTCTTAAGTGAAGAGGGAGGAGCGCTCCTGCTGCGCTCAAGAGGCTTTGCGTGGCTATCCCTGAAGCCAGAAGAGCAAGAGGGATCGGTTCTGGCTTTCTGGGATAGCTGTGCAGCCTGCAATCACTCCATAAGACGCACACACATTTCCCCTTCCTTTTTTAGGAGGAAAAAAGTGCCTCTCACAGAGCGAAAAATACGGTATTGTGGTATGTATTGTGAACATATCATTTCATGGGAATGGGAGGCATTCATGTAAGCCAAACGTAATTAAGAGGCGCAGCAAACCAGAACCCTCAAAACATTGACATTCTTTCCCAAACCTGTCCATTCCTCAAGCCCCCTTAAGTATGAAGTTTAGAGACCTGTATTTAAAAAGCCTAACTTGTGCTACCATCTCCTCAAACTTCTGTATTAACTCTACTTCTGCTGAAATTAGGCATGAAAAGTCAGCCCTATTGTAGCCAATAGAAGGCTTTTGAACTACAAATTGGGGAGGTGAGGTTAACTGCCCTCTCTAAAAATATCCCACCGAGATACACAATTAGGGTTCTTTTGAGCCTAATTGCTGTGGGTGAGTGGCAGTTTTGGGGGGCCTCTCCCTACTATAACTCCTGCCCCCCCATCACCCCTCTCCTGCCTCAATTAGGGGTGGGTATGTTTGTTTGTTTGTTTGTTTGTTTTAAAAAAGCCTACTATTGGTTCCAATAGAAGATGTCTCTTCCCACCCCCAATTACACCAGAAAAACCCACCCTCTTCATTGTTGCAGGGTGGGGAGTGTTGTGGAGAATACAAGTAGGGAGGCAAATCATACACACATACCAATTAGGCTTGAAATGAAGCAAAAACACTTTTTGTAAGCCTAATTGCTGGCAGAGGAGTGTTGTATGAGCCCCATGACAATTCTAGTTTGCAAAGGTTCCCATGAGCCCAGAAAGGTCAGTGGCCTCTGGCTTAAATACTGTAGTCTGCAGTATGCATGGTCTGTCAGGAACCCTGCATAAACTGCAAGGCAACCCATGATTCAAAATGCTTTAAAATGACCTACATTCCCATATAAAAATAAATGATCCACTTACTTGGTTTTTTGGTTGAAGCGCAAACCAGCTGTAGTTATCACCAGGAAGATTCTATTCTGTGCAAACTTACCTGTGCATGTTTGTGAGGGAAACACTGTTACAATATTAATACAATATTAATTAGGGTATGTACATATTAAGGGGCAAGATGCAATTTGCTTCAGAGGCTCAGCAAAACATTAAACTTTGAAAGTCAATGGAACAGACTGGTTTCTACTACAAGTATCTTACAATGGTTTGTAAATGTAATTATCAGAGGGGCCAGGGAAGGGAAGGGGTATACATAAATTTCATTACAAAGTAATTCAGGCAGCAAATTAAATCTGCATAGGAAACTGCAAGGGAGCAATTTTCCTTACAGATTAACTCCAAACCTGAACTTCTGACAGCGAATATGCTGGTGCCGCTATCAAGGAGGAAAACAAGTGGTAGCTCTGTGTTGCATAGAAAATAAATCTAGTATGAGATTATTCCTGCTCTAAGGCTGCATTAATGAGGTTTATAGACCTTTCTCAGAGTTTTTAGATTTCCACAATGAACATGGCTCTGCATTTATAATTTTCATCCTTTACCACTTATAGAGCGAAGAATCTGCGCAAGAGGTTAATTTCAATCAACCATTGACTAATTTCTACACACATTCTTGCTGATGAACATACACAAGCCCAGTCTATTGATGATTTTTGCAGGCTGCGTTTTCAAATGTCTCCAAGATGATGGCCTGTCCACTAGCACTTCTAGAAGTCAAGGAAGGCCAAAAGATAATGCACCCGTGTGAAGATGATGCACAATTTGTTACTCCATTCAGCTAGTACTTCTGAGAAACCTGCATGCGTGTCTCCCTACTGTCACCTAATAATACACCAATCTCTTTTAAAAAAATCAAAAACCATTTCTGCAGGTGTCTGCTTCCTGACCTGCTGTTCAATTCAGAACTAAATTTTAGTGAGAGCAGCAAGACCATAGAAAAGGATGAACCAGAAAACAAAGGGTGTCAAGGGGCAATAAAAAAAGTTAGCACCTAAGTGCTAAAAGCTCACTTCTTCACTGGTCTGAACAACTTTGCTCAGCTGCATTTTTAAAAAACAACCCTCTAATTTTACCTGAACTAACTTTCCATTTGGCTAATTCTGGATCCTATAGACTGAATCTTAGATTCATCATCTTCAGTTACTGGCAACATTAACACCCCAGTCACGTACACACATAATACTGGCTCATTTTCAAGTCGCCTGTTGACCAGCCAGAACAATGTTCTTTGAGAGAGACTTTAGACAACAGTTCTGTTACTGCAACTTTACAGTGTCATTTTCATTCCTTTTTAGTGAGTCTCAAGTAGCAGCACTGCAATGATCCCAGTGAAATAAAGACTGCTATTCATCAAGCACTAAATAAATACTTGTGGATTTTTGTTGTCGTTTAGTCGTGTCCGACTCATCGTGACCCCGTGGACCAGAGCACGCCAGGCATTTCTGTCTTCCACTGCCTCCCGCAGTTTAGTCAAAAGTTGTGGATTAGGAGTATACAATAGGCCATGTAGCATTATTTTAACATACAATTTGAAAGTCTTAACAGCTCAAGATCTTATGAGGAATCTTTAGCACAACACAATAAAATTTTCTTGGAATGAAGAAACTACGTTCACTGGTCTTCAAAGAAGTTTGTCTTTAATGTGAAATTCTTAATTTAACAAATGTACACTACTGATCAAAACAAAATCTTCAAAGTTGAGAAAATGTTTTGAATAAATTTATTTTGTAACTTCCAAAGAGCTATTTAAAAAATGTTTTGCGACATGCATAAAAAACCCAGACATTCCAAACATTTAAAAAAAGAAAACCTAAGGATTATGCTGTTAATTCACCTGTGATTTCTCCTTTTTCTGAAGTCCTTATTTCAAACTCAGCCACAGAAGTTAAAATAAGAAATACATTCCTTTTAAAGAAGCTGAAATCTATGGAGGACCTTGAAAAATAAGAAATAGTGAGTGTTTTCAAAACAAAAAATGAAATTCAAAAAGCAAATTAGAAAGTATTGGAAATAAAATTTTAAAAATTATAGTAGAAACACAAAGTGGCAGGAAAACTTTAGATTTAAATGCTTTACAGTCCAAGAATGTCAGCAATGTGGTGCTCAGACGGTAGGAGAACTGGTCAAGTTCGGACTTCCAAGAAACAGCTGCCAAGCAAGCCCAATCAAGGATGTTGCAGAAATTTGCTTAATTTCTGATTTATTTATTTTAAGGAAATCAGATATTTGTGTGCCTTCTCTGCTTAACTGCAGTATGATCACATCTAACACACATTGTGCGATTTCAACCATATGTGGTTGAAGGCAGGCCAGCAGAAATTACCGTATTTTTTGCTCTATAAGACTCACTTTTTCCCTCCTAAAAAGTAAGGGGAAATGTGTGTGCATCTTATGGAGCGAATGCAGGCTGCGCGGCTATCCCAGAAGCCAGAACAGCAAGAGGGATTGCTGCTTTCACTGCGCAGCGATCCCTCTTGCTGTTCTGGCTTCTGAGATTCAGATTTTTTTCTTCTTCATGTTTTCCTCCAAAAACTAGGTGTGTCTTATGGTCTGGTGCGTCTTATAGAGCGAAAAATACGGTAGTTAAATCCAAGCAAGGCAGAGAGCTTAAAAGCTCTTTTCATGATGGGTGACCCAATGGACCTGGCGCAAGACAAGCTTTTAAGCTCTCCGCATTGCTTGGGGGGCAAGACCCGCTCAGCACAGGTTCTGGGAGTACAGGCAATGCCCCATTTCTGCACATCCAACTGACACATGACTGTGTACGCATGCGCAGAATTGGGGGGGGGGGGCGGCGTAGGGAGAGGGCTTATGTGTACTCTGGTGACACACGGGCCAGGAACCTAACCCCAGTGCAAATGGGTCATTGACTGTACTGGGGATTCTCCTTTTCTACCTCTCACGGCTAGCTGCTAGTTTATTCTTCCCAAAGGCAAACAAAGGAGCAGTTACAAGCACGGTGTGCTTTCCTTACTGCAGCTTTCAAAGAGCAGTTTTAACAACAGTCAGGCAAAAACCACCACTGAATGAACGAAGAATTCTTCTCTGAATAGAAACAGCACTACTAAAAAGGCTTCGCATTAAAATTGAAATGCACTTCCACATAAACGGTAACAAGGAAAAAAAATGTTTTGTATAGCTATTTGTGTGTGAAAATAAAGATGGGAGATCTGTAATGAGATCTATATTGATTTTAGAAAAACCTTTTAAACAGTAAGGGTGTTAATTCAACGAAATTTCAGTCAGAGTAGATGCACTGAAATTAATGGATCTAACTTAAGACATGCTAATTTCAATGTGTCTGTTCTGAGTAAAGCCTAAGGCTGCAATCTAACACACACACGTATCTGGGAATGAATTCAGTGGGGCTTATTTCTGAGTAGACATGTATAGTTTTTTTTTTTTAAATAAATGCAATTATCTAATATTTAGTGCTCAGATGGAAATACTGATTCTGACATTTTTATAATCTGTTTCAACATGAAGATATAATAGACTTTAACTCCCTGAGAGTTTTCATTTTCTCCAGTTGTTTGACATAAAACCCACAATATACGAGCACAGGAAAAACCAAGCCAACACAGAGAAGCATTATTGGTTTTATACTGGAACCAGAAAGCATATAATCTACATAAAGAATTCTTCATTGAGGGTACAACATCCAGTTGCACAACACCAGAATATACGGTTTTAGCAGTTACTTGAAATCACACTAGTTTATAAGCTAGAAAATGTTATGAGCTTGATAATATCAAACCCATTACACAGACTGTGGCAGAAGGCAGAAACAAGTCAACATTAAATGAAATTAGGAGTATTTATTTCTCATTGATCTCGCTATAATGTTTCCCCCTTTTTTTAACCCCCCCCCCCCGTGTTTACACACATTTCCACCAAATAGGCAAATTTTAAGCTTGCTGACGTCTTGTGTAACTACCCTGTCTTCTTCTGCGGCAACTGCAGAACAAAAGCCAGTAAAATATATTGACATCAATTCATCAAACGCTGCTGTTACACAACCTCTGTTTATTGGAAGCTGGCTTGCACACAAGCATAGTTGATATTAATAAAAGATGTGGGCAGTGCTTCTGCTGCCTCAACTCTATGCACAGCAAGATCAGGAACAGGTCCTGGCTTATATCATCTGCATGTACCAGATCTGTGCAATTTAACAAACGTATTGGTTCACTGAAAACGTGGGACCTCCCTGATCCTATGACACTGTGCGAGACAGAAAAGTTTGTTCTATAATATGGTGGGGGTGATGGTGGGGAAGAGGTAGTAAAAGTGATCTGTTCGAGGAGGAGGAGGAGGAGGAGGAAGAAGAAGAAGAAGTTATCCCCTCCTACAATGGTGGATAAGGGAAGTGTTGGAACCTCAGACCTGCTCTTGATCTCATCATGCTTAGGAGGTGAAGAGATGGTAGCAGCATGTAGAGAGAGGTCTTGCAATGGGGCACTAGCTACAGTGAGCATTCATCACATAAGAGATGGAAGGATGAGATTTTAACATGTAGAAGTCATATTAGCATCGCACTATTGTTAGCAAAGGTTCAAAATCCACCCTCCCCCCTTACCTACATGCCAGCTTCACAAATGGTCATGTCCCACCACCATTCAAAACAGGCTTTTTCACCCCTTCAAAATTCTTGCCACCCACAAATCCCACTGATGGCAATGAAAACTCCAGCCTCTTTAAAAACAGAAACAAAAAGCAGAGGCTCCAACATTTTTCCCACTTAGGAGAAAGCTCTCTAGTATCCTGACTCTAGTATCCAGTCATCACAATCCTGTGCTTTCAAATTAATGTTTTAATATTGCAATCCTATACAAGCTCCTTTTGGAGAAAATGAAAAGCTAAAATGCTCTCTCTTAACACAACGACCTACATCTCACTCTGTCCAAAATGAGGTTTTAGCTACTATTGCTTTTCACAGCTCAGCAGAGAGACAGTGCTGCAGCACGAAATAAAGGTGATCGTTGTTGTGACCGGAATGAGAAATAAAAAAACAACATAGTACTACAGAGGTAGAAGACTTCAAGGAAGCAACCCTGAATTACAGAGTTGCTTGTTCCTATCTATCAAGCACACTGAGTTCCTAACACCCTTTCTGTGTCTAATGCCGTTTATTGCCAGCAAAATAAGCTTTCAGCAGCGGAGTGACGGAAGCCATGGCAGGATCACTAAACTTGGGGGCTTGCTTTTTTTTTAAAAGCCGTCATCTCCCTCCACAGAAAAATACATTGGTTCTTATACAATCGGCAATGCTGTTACTTCAACAAGATACCTAGCCACCCTTAACGAGATCTCTAACGATATATTCCGAAGAAGTGCAATGACAAAAATGGTCTCGGGCCAGGGGTGGGGAATACCAATATATGTAAAATAAGTCTGCCATCTGCGGACTTTCCTTGCCAAAGTGCATTCTAAGAAAACAAGGCAAAACACACACACACACACACACACACACACACACACACACCTTTTTGCTGTTCCTAGCCCCCATTTCAATAACCCATACATGTCTCCTAAAAACCAACCTGCTCAAATGGGAAGCATTATTAGTTCCTGTTCTAAAGAGCAAGTTATAATTGAATTACACCCTTTCAAACTTTTGACAGGCAGCTGCAACTTACCAATGCCAAAAGAAACGGCACTTCCAAGGACCCCACAGAATCTTAGACATGTAAAAAAGATACACAATCGCAATATGGTAGACGGAAGATATTAACGAAGAAAATTACACTTTAGTGCAGTCCTAAACATTTTCATGAATAACTTATGTTTTCATTTAAAAAAAAAAATCAGCCAGAACATGCCAAATGGAGCAAAATCAGCTAAAGGTGATACAACAAAACAATTCTATAGGGATTATTATTTTTTAACAAAGGAATTGCATATAATAGTCCTTTCAGCAGCAGGCTTCTGCCAGCAACCACTTTGTGACGAGGGACCTACTGTCATCACATGGACCCCCTATAGGAGGTTTAGGCCTTGTCCTCTTTTAAGGCTTATTCAAGCAAACACTAATACCTGTAAGCTTATTCCACACAGTTAAAAAAAACAGGGCTTCTTATAAATTCACAACATTCTACAGGGAAATATAACAGTGGGCGATACCTTATACCTGTTCATTATCCACAAGTTGAGTTACACTCAGTCTTCATTCATCCTCCACAGTTTTATCTTCCCACCGATAGTATGAGTCTTCTTGCACTATTAAAGGGCAAATCTAAGTCTGAGCTTTCTGTTTCAGTGTTTATGAAAGAATTGGGGGGGGGGGAGGGAACTGCTTTTTTTCTCATCTCCGTCGCACGTTTGGTACTTCTTCCTTCAGAAGTCTAAACCAGGGCCTTTGGAAGCAACAGTACTTTTATCTGCACAAAGCTCAGGTGAACAGGTCCTTTTAGATAATCAGACATAAGATGCAGCACTTTGCAGATTTTTTTTTTTAAAGAAGACACTGACTGCTAATTCATCCAAGGTAAGGTTATCTGATCACAGGCAAAGCAACAGTGATCTTTTACCGGATTCATCCTCTGTTTCTGGAATCCTTGGCAGCAGGGCAGAACGGGTCAATCCCCAGAACTTTTGAGGTGACATATCCTTCTTTGTTGAAGTAAACTTCCAGCCTATGTGGCTTCCGCAGATTCTGCACTCTGCTATAGTCCATGCATACCTAGGAGTGGACAGCATCGTATTAGCCTTTTTGAGCAGGATATATCTCATAAATCACTACTTGCAATAGCCCTTACTGTCACTTGGAGCTCAGAGTAGCAAAGCCACCACAGTCGTACCTTGGAAGTCCAACGGAATCCGTTCTGGAAGTCCGTCCGACTTCCAAAACGTTCGAAAACCAAAGCACGCTTTCTGAATGCAGCCTGCAGCTAATTGGAAACTGCGGAAGCCCCACCAGACATTTGGCTTCCAAAAATAAATTCACAAACCAGTACAGTCACTTCCGGGTTTGCAGCGTTCGGAGGCCGAAACATTCGAGAAGTAAGCTGTTCAAAAACCAAGGTACAACTGTATAGTACTTCAGATAGAGGAATCATTTGCACATGTTCCAGGCAGAATCCAACCAATTTAAGGGCATGAACTAAAATTATAGGGGTGGCTTCTAGAATATGAGTTAACAAATTTGCTTAGAGGTTATTCAGATGTTTAGGCTAGAAACCTTTCCCTGACGGGTAATGCTTATGAGAGTATTTCCAAACAAGCAATAATCCAGTTTGCATTTGAACCAGAACAGAAGCAGGAATATCTGTTTTCTATGCCCTGAAGTTGTTAAAAAAAATCATTATCTGCATGCAGGAATGGTGAGTACAAATTAAAAGAAATGCTTGAGCCACAAGGAGCTTTGTGATGGATAAGGAAGAAATATATTGCACATCTGAATAAGGTGTCTTACCAGTCTGCCCAACGCTCAATATTCTGGGGGCTTGGTTTTTTTGGCACCTCCCAGGTACTCTTATTTTACTAGTTCTTAGGGTATACGCTATGTATGAGGTATACACCAATACAGTAAAAAGCAAAAGCATTCAAACGGCATATTAATACCCAAACCTACTAGCATTAATGAGAGGCATTTTATTACCCAGGAAACCAGCTGTGCTCTGTGGAAGATCTGCCAGTCAGATTCAAGTTGCAAGCTTTGTACACAGTAAGTGTCTCGTGCACAAATCCATGAGGATTCACATATGCAGCCATAGGCCCACCAAGAGATAAACTGCAAGAAACAAATTTTTAAAAGTCAACTTCGAACACTCAAGATACTGGTGGCTGGTGAGAAATTAGACATGGGGAATATTACTGTTTTGAAATAACATTAATATTCATCATGGGGGAGATCATAGAAACATGGAATTGTAGGTGAATGCTATAAAAAATTTTAATAAATAAATTGGTCTATCTTTTTAATGTTTTTTGTTTTAATTTGTTACCTTTTTATTATGTTGTTATTTGGTTTTATGTTTTTATATTGTAAACAGCTGTAATATATTCTTATGATACAGTAGTATATAGGTATAATAATAATAGTATAAAAATACATAGAAAGATAGATAGCTAGATAGTAAGGGGGAGACCAGCCAAGACTATCTGAGGTCAAGGGATGGCATTTCAAGAAACACTCTGCCCCAAAACATTTTGTTACCTGCTTCAACAATCTGGTCAACAACCACATAATTGGTTCATTGCCTTAACATGTTTCTGTGAAAATTTCTCAGCAGCAGAATAAAAATTTTCTATAAGAGAACATGAGCACTCTCAGTGATTTTCACATGTATCAGTGAGATCCACTTAGAGCCAAACATTTGTAGTCCAATATATATATATTTGTTTATATTTGTTTTGGTATTATTCTCCACCTAAAATGCAATCTTTACAAATTGCTTGCTAAAATAATAAAATGTATAATTGTTAAAATGCAGTTTAGAAGCTAAGAGGGTATTTATTTCAAGGCAATTTCTACAGTGTAAGCCCTTTGCAAACTCACCTGAATATTTCATTTTTAGTAGTTATTTCTGTGTCTTGACAATGCTTACAGCAGAGAGACGTACACTACAAAAGCAATAAAGCAAACATAAATGGGGAAACTAACATTTTTTAACTAACAGAACGGAAGATCCGCAAAACATTTTGTTTAAATACTTTAAATTGCAAGCAAAGCAGGTTTAATCCAGTAACTTTTCCTAAAAAGGAGACCACTTGGAACCTTATTTTCCCTTTAAGAAGTTTTCATAACTGCTTCCTGAAACTCTTTTTCTGTGGCGGCAATGAAGAGACCGACACATGAAATGTAATAAAGTTGACAACAACCTTATTGAAAGCTGTAAAGACCTAAGACTTGCAAAACTGGAAACACTCTAGACCCAGTGATGGAGCAGAGTGCCCAATGTCCCTATCCATGACTGTCCCTCTGGACATCATCATTCAACATCCCATTTTCCACAAGCGGCCAACCAGATGACAATGAGAAGTTCAAAAGCAGAGCATGAGTGCAATAGCACTCAACCATTGTTGTGTCCAAGTGTCTATAGTCAGGAGCACGCTGTATCCGAGCCTGCAGGCAGCCTATAGCCATCGTATCTAGTAGCTATTGATAGCCTTGTGTCTACTCAAAAGTCTTAACTGGGAACTTGCTCCCAGGTAAGCAAGAGAACAATTTCAAGACCTTGTAAAGAGTTCAGTACACTTACTTTGTTCATTATATCTAGTTCACATCGTAATCGCTGAACAGCACTACCAATTTTAAGCAGCTGAATTCGCAGTGCATCATCAATGGGCAGACAAGCAGCAACTCTGTATGAAAAATCTGAAGAAATTCAATTTCATATATTTAAAAGAAGGTCAATCAGACACACAGCACATTATAATTTCCAGTTAATCAGTGCATAACTATTACAAGGAATCAATCACAATCTACCAGCAATCTTTTTTGGCATCAGCTCAACTGGAATAAACGAAGTGGCAATTTCTGCCACATGCTTTTTAGCAGATGCATATGGACTATGATCTTTAAAAAATGCACTACATATAGCATTAAAAAGAAAAAAATCAAAAAGGTGACAATATTGCTTTTTTGATGCAACTCTCTCAGGCTGCATTATGCAAATTGTAAAGCAAGGCAAAGAGCAAAGGCAATGTTAAACCACATAGTTAATCCATTTTCTTATAAATATGAGCCGCTCACTTGTATAGTAATGGAAGTTTCTGTTTGATGCCTGCTGGGGTTACATGTGATAGTAGAAATCTATATTGTCTATTACTCGACAATGACCACATATAAGCCATTTTTTGTGGCTTTCACACTGAAAATCTGCAATGTTGGGAAGGAAGCACACTTATGTGCTATTTAAAGCGGACAACTCTAAAAGGTACAGAGGGAACAGGGGTGTGTGTTAGATCCAGACAAGTCCTGAACCTTGAGCCAAAGATTTGCAATTTATCTGAACCAAAATAGGGTCTTGCCAAAGCACTCTGAAATAAAGCAGGAATCTCCAAAGCCTTTTATGCATTGAGATTCGTAAAATAAATACTGGAAACAATGTGCTTGTCAAAAGTGAAATCTTTCTCCCAAAGCTAGCCAGATAAGGAAAATATCAGGATGGAGAGATAGAAGGGAGGGGTATCTTTCTTTGTTTTTTGGAACCGTCTAGCCTCTAATCAGGAAGAAATCAGTTAGTGCCTATTTCATTCTCTTTTAGTAGCCCTCCTAGTAGTCCCTGCTTGGACAATGCTGGACATTCAAGGCCTGCTGCTGCTTTGCTACATGCCCACACATTCACATCTCTCAAACTAGCTTTGCACTTACTTTCTATGGTTTTCTGCTATGTTGGTGTCAACTGAGCAGAAAATGGTTTTGAAGCTGTTCCCCTCACTATTCATAATAGCTTCCTAGTCTCTCCATTTGAAAATTAGCAGGTGACTTTTCTAGGAACACCTCTGTTATGCATGCCATTTTCAAAATAAAATTGCTGCCCACAAAACCACAGGAAGGGAAGTTCTCCCCACAAAATCAACTTTAAAATGGTGTCTACTGCCAATAACCCACTATACATCTTTCCAAAATTTGGCAGGGTTCTTAGCTAGGAATACCTCTCTGTTGTATTCCCTTTTTAGGCAAATTTCCCACAAAACAATAGGCTAGGATAAGTAAATGCTTTCTGAAATGCTGTGTGTGTGCGCGCATGCGTAAAATGCTGCCCAGCACAAACTAAAGCCCTAGGGTTTGACCGGCTTTATCCATCCAGGAAGGGCTATTATGCCCACAAACTCTATCCAAGTCTGTCAAACGGAGAAAAGCTAGATTTAAAAAAAAATCCTGCATGTGAAAACATAAAGTTTAAATTTTCCAAATTAGGCAATGTCTGAATCACTGTGAACTGAAATCAGGTTGTTTAAATGCCAAACTGGGATGTGAATTGAATCTTATTGTCTTGAATACACACTGTTCATGGCCAATCCCCTATACCATGGAGAACTAGAAAATGTGTAGTGTCTTAATGCGGCCATGAGCTTTCATTGATCAGAGCCTACTTTGCTAGGCAAATGCAACTTTTTCTTCTATCAGTTAAAGTGCATAGAGAAGCAAACAAGAAAAATTTTCAAGTAAAAGTTATTTATTAAGAGTACCTATTGGATTTGATGGAAGCGATTCATCTTTAAGATTTTCATCCCACTCGTGCAGCTGCTGCTTGACTCTTTCCATCAAGGTTTCCTTGTGTTGGAAGAAAAACCTAATTTAAACATACAAACTCCTTTTTCTTTTAAAAAAATAAGAATGAAGAATAACGTAGAGAAAGTGTATCTAGCTATATCTTTTGCAGTAAAGTTTTATTAAGAAAGGTGCAGCTTCTTAACACCAAGCTGAAATCCATACATGTATCAATGTCTAATTCACACTTGTATGAATTTCAGCTTGGTGTTAAGCCATGGCACAGCTGAAGTCTTACAGTGGTGCCCAAATCGCTGAGCTTTCATTTCCAAATAGTATTTAGGCCTCCTAGAAATAAAGTTATGGGGCAAAATGTGCAGGTACCTGCTTCTATGGAATAAGAGTTGTACGGCTACCTTGTGTATTTTTTATGGTACCAAGGAATGCTTCCTGTTGTTAGATAGCAACAGCATCTCTCTCTCTCCCTCTCTCTCTCTCTGCGTGTTTTCTCCACAATCAGGACAAGTAGGACTTGGCTGAATTCCCATGGTAACAAAAAGGTTTTCAGGCATGGTTGTCTCATTAATTCTGCATTATTGCCATGCCCCTCTGTGGCAGCCATTTTGTGCTTGGCACCCCCAGCCCTCTTTCAAAATTCAAAATGTCCCCACTACTTCAAAAAGCTTGGTGACCCCCTGAATCATACTGTTTTATCCGTGGGCAAGATGGGCACATAGTACACCTTTCTTGTTCTAAACATATGTATGCCAACCAATTAGCTCTCTGTAAGGGTTGAGGGAATTGTGACATATTAAAACATTATGAGTGGTATCCAGTGATTTCACCATGGGGTTTCCACTCATGGAAAGGAGTCATCCTTGGATACAATCCATTTAGCAATCATCAATCTTATCAGTTGATAGTCTCAGGCACCCCTTGGTGAAGGTGTGTTGGATGGCAGATGTAGGGCATAATAAAACCATGTAATCCTGCTGCTGAATTAGCCTACGACCCAGTTTCTTCTTCATCAAACTCCTGGCTCCTGCCACTTTGTCATTCCTGATTGCAGGGTGGATTCCAGTGTGTATTGGCAGACTATATCTATCCCTTGCAGAACCTGTACAGTCCAGAGGTTCCCACTCTTGTTAGTCTCGACCAAGACGATTGCATGCTGGTCGAGAGGTGGTTGAACCTGTCAATGCTGTTTAGGTATAGGCCGTGGGGGCAGCGATCTTGCTGAGACAGCAACTTGTGTTTCCTTGGCAATATCTGACAGAAGGTCAGATATCTAATACATAGTAGCAGTTCACTGGTTAGCTGCCATTTTAAAACATAGGTTTGTTCTCTTGGAGGCAAAAAGAACATGCCAGATTGAGAGATAAAACCAAGAGCAAGACCTTATTAATACTTACAGCATCATATAAGGAATACAACCAAGACGGCCAGGAAGTCAGACTAGCACAGTGGAATTTGCGCTGCAACACAAAACAGATATAGATATTTACCGTTACTGCTAAGTAATAAATGATATTCTTCAGTTACTAGAGGAAAGAGAACACTTCTATAAATATTTCATCAAGCAAATCTCCCCTCCCCAATGCATGCTCTATTAGCATAATTATTTGTTTCACTATGTTACGATCAAGGTACAAAACACACCTTGTGAACCTCAGAAAACCCTGGTGAGTAGATAGAAATGTGCTTGATCCCCATTATTTATATCTTTAAACATAGTATCCAATACTGTTTTTATCCGGAGACATCAGGTTGATATTTCTACTGTGATAATTCCAAATATTGCCGTTTAAGTTGATTTTATTCACACCAACCCCAATAGTGCAAACATTACTTAAAAACCAAATAGCCTATTGCAACTGCTTTTCAGATCATGCTGCCTAGCAATTCAATGGTTCCAAAGTGTACCCTCACAGAAGTAAACATTTTAACCCTGTTTTTACTTCTGTGAGGGTACACTTTGGAACCATTGAATTGCTACTGAAGGGTTTTTTAGCCCTGAAAGTTATTGCACAACTCTCACTCTTTAAAGGCATAATCATCATCAATTACAAACTAAACTAATAAAGTAAAATCTATGGGTATATCAAAATGTGATTAAAAAATAATAATAAGTGAGACAAGGTGGGACATGCAATTTTGGCCAATCCTCCTACTAGGGCTGGGTGATATCTGGTTTTCAACATTATGCTATACCACCAACTGAACTTCACAATATACAATGTCTGAAATAAGGATGGAGCTGTTGATTTAAAGCAGAGTCTGGTTGCCAGCGGAAGGATGAGTAATACGTGTTACATACTCCTTTATTGCTTTATTTACAGTTCAAAGCTGGTATATTACAGAAAGACATCTTGCCTCTGCGTGAGAGCAGAAAAATGCATCCTCTCTCCTCAACAGCTTGGAGAGAAAACACAGAGTGAAAAACAGGAAACCAGTGTACGTCACATCCAGTCTCCCTTTCCCGTGAGAAACTCCAACAGTACAGACTGTGGAATGTAAACACCTGTCTCATGACAGCAGTTGCTGCTCAGTGAGGGAAATAGAAACCAACATCCTCCCCCTTTCTGTGAACATCACTGGGCAGCATGTTCGTACAGTATCAGTACAAACCCAACTTCTGCACATAGGTACAGTGTTGATCCCTTGATACAATCTTGGACAATACATCAGCAGGAATTTCATCATCTGGCATATAGGACACCGTTACGAGTCCCTTCTGAATACATTCCCTAGCATGCTGCAACTTTAGTTGCAAGTGCTTTGTGCTTTGCTTACAACCTTCAGACTTCAGCAAAGCCAAACATGCTTTGTTGTCCTGGTAAACCTGGATTGGACATTTGACAGGAATTTTCATATCTTTGCACAATTGTACTAACCATTCACAATCCTTAAGTGAATAAGACAGTGCATTCAGTTCAGCTTCACAAGTACTTAAGCTAACTGTTGTTTGCTTCTTGCACGACCAATCAAACAGACTCTGATTGTACATGTAGCAAACTCCAGACGTACTTTTCCTGTCTGTAGCGTCACTTCCAAAACTTGCATCTGCAAATATCTCAAGACCACCAGACTTCTGATTGTTAAATCTCAGTCTGTAATGCATAGTGCCTTTCAAATACCGCGCTATGCGTTTCAGAGCTTTCCAATCCTTGACACTAGGATTGTTGACTTATCTGCTTAGCAAATTACAGCTAACAGCAATGTCTGGTCTTGAACATCTGGCAATGAAGTTTAGCTTGCCTAGCACACTCCTGTACAGTGTAGTGTCAGAAAATGCTTCTTCAGTGTCATCTACCTGATAACCTGTTGTCATCGGTGTGTCTACAGGGTTAGCATCCATCAGATTTAGTTTGCTTAACACATCAGCAATTTTCTGTGACTGGTGTACTAGAATGTTACCATCTTGATCTCTCTCTATTTCCAGAGATAGGTAGTTGTTTACCTCACCAAGATCTTTCATGTCAAAGTGCTCTTTCAGTTGAGCTAGGGCGCTATTGTACATTGCAACATCTTTCCAAAAGAATAATAAATCATCAACATAAAACAAACAGTATAGTTTCTTTTGCCCCTCCTCTTTGACAAATACACATGGATCAGCTTTCCCTTGCTGAAAACCTAGAGAAACAATACTTCAGTGAGTTTTGTGTGCCAACACCGTGCACTTTGTTTGAGACCATAAAGGGATTTCTTCAGAGCACAAACAAATCCCTGTTTTATCTGTACGCCATCAGGTGGAAGCATATAAAGTGATTCATCTAGAGATCCGTACAGAAAAGCTGTATTAATATCATGGTGACTAATGTGTAGATTTTCCTCTGCAGCTAGCTTAAGCATAAGCCTAATGCTTTCATATCTCACTGTGGGTGAATAGGTCTCGTGATAGTCTTCACCTGGTACCTGTGCAAAACCTCTGGCTACCAATCTGGCTTTGTGTCTGACTATCTTGCCATTTTGATCTGTCTTCGCTTTGAAGACCCATTTGCTTCCAGCAGTTTCATTCCTGGAACTACTGGAACTAGTTCCCATGTTTTGTTCCTTTCTAAGGAATCAAGCTCAGCCTTCATGGCATTTAACCATGGCTCAGCTTCCTTTGAATCCAAACCCTGGATTTCTTGGAAACTTGAAGGTTCAAATACCTTCTTGGAGCTTTTAACAGCTGTCACTGCTATCGTAGCAAACTCATCAGCAAATCTCTTTGGAGGTTTGCCTTTTGTGGCTCTCTGTGACCTACGAATTAGCCTTAAGTCTTCAACACTCTCCTCTTCCTTCTGAGGAGAAAAACGACCTATTGTGAACAATGGTTCCTCCAATTCTTGATCAGAGCTTTCAGAGGGTCGCATAGAGGCTTTCGCACTCTTGAAATCCTCTGAATCACCCGATTCAGTTTCAGATTCAGACTCAGAACCTTCATCAGTGGGTGTGGGCTGTTGTGGTTGCTTTTGATTATCCTCAGTCTCATCACCATCATCAGGATAACATTGGAAAATTCCCACATTCTCCCCCCACTTTGCATTGTACTCAACACTTCTCGTGAGCTTAATTGTCTTAGAGTCAGTCATCATTATTCTGTAAGACCCTTTCTGATAACCTAGAAAGATACCATGCAATCCACGCTTGTCTAACTTGGAGTTTTGTGGTGAGTGAACCCACATGTCAGAACCAAAAATCTTCATGTGTTTGATGTATGGCTTCTTGCCAAACATCTTCTCATAGAGGTACAACCAATCGCTGAAGATAATCTGCGATTGTAACTGTAAACAAAACACGAGAGAGATTCGGCCCAATAACTCTCTGGAAGATTGGCATCATGCAGCAAGGTTTTTAATCCTTGAAGCAATGTCTGATTTGCCCGTTCCGCAAGTCCATTCTGCCATGGCGAGCGAGGACTAGACAAATCGTGTTGAATTCCTTTCTCAGTCAGAAAAGCTTCAAACTGCTGAGAAGTGAATTCCCCGCGATCACTGAAAAGAGTCTTTATCTTCTTACCATGCACATTTTCCAACCAAGCACAGAATTCCTTGAACCTAGGAAAAGCCTCCGATTTCTGCTTGAGATTGTACACAAAAATATATCTAGAAAATGCATCAATGAGAACCATGAAGTATCTATTTCCACCCAAAGAGGGCGTTAGTGGTCCAACCAAATCAGCATGAACAACCTGGTATGGTTCTGTAGCTTTCCTACTAGACACCTTACCTTTGCAGCCATTTTCACCTTGTTTGCTGCGCATGCTTTGCACTTCATGTGGTACCTGCAGGGTTTAATAGTCATACCTTCAACCAAGGCAGGCATTTTAGATACTGCCTCAAAATGCAAATGAGCAAATTTTCGATGAAAATCGTGAATACATTCTGCATGCAAACTTTTGTTAGAACCTGCAATGCAACAAGTGTCATCCTGCATCACATCATCATAATACAAAACAAACAAATGATCAACATATTCTGCATGCAATACATAATCATTTTTCTTTGTGATGATGCACTTCTTGTTCTTGAAGGAAACGTCAATGTTCCGCTCATTCAGCTGTCCAACGCTGAGCAGATTATGTTTGGTGTCTGGCACGTAAAGCACATTCTGTATCGATAAGTCCAAACTGTGAAGAACAACAGTTCCGTAGCCTTTACTGGGAATAGTGTGGTCATCCGCCTGGTGAATCGCACCTTCCTGCGGTGTAAAAGACACAAACAGTTTCTTATCGTTGCACATGTGGTGGGTGGCCGCTGAATCAACAACGAAGAAAGATCTAGACGTCTTCTGGACCTCTGCAACCTTTGGAGTGAAGCGTGAAACCATAGCCTTGTGCTGCGTTGTCCTAGACACCGGACCTTTGCCTTTGCCTCGGCCTTTTCCGCGCGATGAGCTTTCGCTGCGCTGCTCTGTCTTGGCCCTGGAATGTCTGCATTCCCTCTTCATATGGCCTAGACGTCCACTCGAGTAGCATTTCACTGCCTTCAAAGCTTTGGCGCCATCTGGTGGTTCCACTGCACTATGGGATGACGTCTGTGAAGACTCTCCCTTGCCCATGCAGCTAGCACCCGGCGATCTGCTTCATTTAAAATCACGGCAGTAACAAAGTCCACTGTCAGCTGAGCAGTTGGTTGCACAGCAATCTGGGTTGCAACAGACTCCCAACCTGAACCCAAAGATTGTAGTATCATGAAAGAATACACAGCCTCTGGAAAGTTGAGTCCTCTCTGTTGCAGCTCATGTCTCAGATTTTGCATCTCCATCAAATGTAAACGCACATCTCCACCTTCAGCAAGAGCCATATTGTGCAGCTTGTTAAAATAATACATAGTAGATCCAGCTTCTGTCCTTAAGTGAGCCTCTCTCAGAGCGTCCCAAATTTCTCTGGCTGAGGTCTTATCACGCAACAGACAGAGCTCTTCTGGGGATACTATCAATGTAAGAGTTCCCCTTGCTTTGGAATCCTTAGCTTCCCATGCATCTGTAACTGGAACTGGGGGGGTTCCTGTAATCACCTCAAACAAACCCTCTTTCCGCAGAATTGCCTCTGCATACTGAACCCAGTCGCTGTAATTTTTCTTGTTGAGCTTAGGAATCCCACAAGCATCCTGAAGGGCCATCATGACTCTGGCATTAGCCTTCAGCGTCATATTCTGCTTTAAATCTTGCTGCGTCACTGCTGCAGCTGTCTCATTACAAAGGCACACTTAAAAGTTACTTTCGATTTCCCCAGCATAGTGACTTGTGCCTGGGAGCCTTTTGCCTATTTGCAAAACCGGCTTTAAAAGTTCAAAGTCCAGCCATAAAGCCATTAACTTGAAGCTGGCAGGCTGCCCGGAGCAGTAGCACATACCTCATCAATCACTTCTACGCGCAGAGCAGATTCCTTTCCGATCCGTCCTCTGCATTCCGATCCTTTGCCGGCACTCCGATTCGACTCCTGGAGTCCATAACCACGTGTTGATTTAAAGCAGAGTCTGGTTGCCAGCGGAAGGATGAGTAATACGTGTTACATACTCCTTTATTGCTTTATTTACAGTTCAAAGCTGGTATATTACAGAAAGACATCTTGCCTCTGCGTGAGAGCAGAAAATGCATCCTCTCTCCTCGACAGCTTGGAGAGAAACACAGAGTGAAAAACAGGAAACCAGTGTACGTCACATCCAGTCTCCCTTTCCCGTGAGAAACTCCAACAGTACAGACTGTGGAATGTAAACACCTGTCTCATGACAGCAGTTGCTGCTCAGTGAGGGAAATAGAAACCAACAGGAGCTATGTAGAGGCATAGACTGGCTTCACAGTTGTTCCCACATTGTCATTTTTGCAGAGCACACACACATGCATTATGATTCACTATATATTGCCAGGTCAAAAATTATGAAACTGATATCACAGTAGAGGACTTCAAACCAGTATTGGATGATATATTGCCCAGTCCAACCTTCTACAAACCTCTGGGCCATTATTCAAACTATGCCCACTTCAGGAGCAACTTTTCAAGGACTGTAAATGGGTAGTAGGTCAGGGGAAATAAGCAAAAATGGAATGCTTCCTTCGCATGAGTTGCTTCATACAAAGCCACAACAGAATACAAACTGATATAAACACATCTATTTCCTTGTTTTTCACAGCACACCACTGTGTGAATGCTGCAGGCCAAAATGAATGCAAGGCATTCTCATTTGTGTGAAAGCAACCTTGGTCTGCTTGCATTTATGAGGTCCAAGCTGCTGCAATCGCACAGAAAACCTCTTCAAACAAACGGCTTGGGTTAAGTGAAGCTGTGTCTACGCTGCTGCATATATCAGGAAGCTGCAAAGCTCATGTATACATTCCAGTTATTAACTGAAACACAGCAATTAGGGGGGGGGGAGCTAAGCCTCAAAAAAAGGAAAAAGGGATCCAAGAGATCACAAAAGGGAGAGGAAAGCTAACAATATTCCTTGAAGATATAACAGTCATTTTAAGTTACCTCCAAAATTAGGGACCATAAAAGCCCACTTAAGGACTTTTTAAAGACATCAGATTTACTCTGAGCAATGGTTCAAATAGCTAACACTATTTTCTGCAAGTTTTATTTTGAGGGTGAGTCTTTGTTAATAGTGCTACATGGATGAACCACACATTCTACCTTTCCCCAAAGCGAGCAAATTAATACCAAGAGAGGAAATGTGAGTGACTTTACACAAGCACTGAAGAAGTCTGGTGTTGGGAGATTATTCCGAGACTTAAAAAAAGAAAAAGAAAAAAGTTTTGTTAAACTAGTGCTTGTGGGAATAATTGTATTTATGATAAACAGACCTGTGCTCTGCATTGAAAGAGGCTATCACAGCAGGTATCCAAAGAAGTGAAGATTAATATAAAAAATATTCCTTTAATAAGAAGGATGTGATTGCTTGAGACCGAGAGTGAAGCAAATTTGGGAATGGCCTGGCTGGCAATAGATAAGGGCAGAATAGAGAACTCCAGAAAGCAGCTTAGCCAGGCACATAACTAGGCAGTAGGAACTATGTGTCCATAAGAGGTGTAAAGAGATCAATTGGAACTTGAGAGAGTTTAAACAGATGTATTACTGATAAATGGAAGAACCACACGGTCACAAAATGCCAAAAATAAATAAAATGGCACACACCTGTTGCAGTGAATTCAAACCTAGAAGTGTAACTGGAGCTAGAAGTGAGGGAATCCACCTTCCTCTGATGAAGAATCAGAAGTCTTCATACCAATTTCCCCTTCAGTTCACTAGTCTGAATTGCACCCAATTGAATAGTTACTTCAAAACTTCTCATTTAAGTACTTTACTATGGAGAGTGGCAACAAAACTGCCAGGAACTCGCTAAGGCTTGAACATGCATGACCATTAAGGTCAGGAAAAGTTATGGTGTTAAGTCTGAGGAAAACTATTCGGGTATAACAGGATAGTGCTCATCTTCAAAAGAATAGGAACTGCACAGCACATAGCCCCCACGGCAAGAGCATCTCAGTGAATCCTGTTTACTTGGATAATGTTGAGCAACTGGAAGATTTGATCCAAAACACTATCTGAACAGGGCTGGGTCATTAGTTTGTGCTCTTCTTCATCTAGTACCCTTCAGGTGCCTGCAGGTTTCTTCCGAGAGATTGAAAGCTCTCTTTTTCCAGGCAAGTCACTTGGAAAGGGAAGAAGACATGTTTTGGGGCTGCTCTAATAAACAGGGTCCCAGATTTCTGCACCAAGCACCTGCACCTCTGGCTACATTTGGGCATCCAGTTGGCTACTGTGAGAACAGAGTGCTACCCTATATGCATCTTTAGCTTAAACTATCAGTGCATTTCTTATGTTCTTACGCATCAAAAGTAAAAAGTTTGCAGCCATCAACCAATCTGACTTAGGACTGAGCTAGAGTGTCAAAGAAAAAGATGTATATGCGTTGTGTGTGCTACATAACATTGTGCCACCAGATGGCAATGTGGAGTCCCATTTTTCTCTACCTGCTTTCCCTGTTTAAATTAACACTTTAAACTGAAATGCTTCTTTGATGTGTCTAGATCCAGCCCCAGTCCACACTTTTTCCATACAATTAGAAAAAGGGAAACATGAAAACAAGTTTTGTAGTGTGGTGTGTTCCTGCTCATAGTCCCACCAGTTTTTCCAGGATACAGTGGTACCTCCGGTTACAAACTTAATTTGCTCCAGAGGTCCGTTCTTAACCCAAAACCGTTCTTAACATGAGGCACACTTTCGCTAAAGGGGCCTCTCGCTGCTGCCACACCGCTGGTGCACGACTTCCACTCACATCCCAGGGCAAAGTTCACAACCAGGAGTACCTACTTCTGGGTTAGCGGAGCTCGTTACCCAAAGTGTTCATAAGGAGGACAGTACGTAACCTGAGGTTCCACTGTACATCATTTACCCACCCTCAGTTTTCATTTTCTGCCCAAATGAGCACGCACAATTCTCCTAGGATGTTCTTGTAACAAGTCCCACAATATTTGTTGTACTTCACCAAACCTTGGGGCTTCCTCAAGCATGCAAACACTTCCTCCTTGTGCGCAGTTAGTGCACCGGAAGCGGTTTCGTCATGCTGGCCACATGAGTCGGAAAGCTGTCTGGACAAACACCGGCTCCCTCGGCCTGAAAGCCAGATGAGCGCTGCAACCCCATAGTTGCCTTTGACTGGACTTAACCGTCCAGGGGTCCTTTACCTTTTTACCTATTTTGGCAACATAAGCATCCACACCTCGAGAATATATTTGCTATTAGTACAGTGGTACCTCGGTTCACAAACTTAATCCGTTCCGGAAGTCCATTCTTAAACCAAAACCGTTCTTAAACTGAGGTGCACTTTCCCTAATGAGGCCTCCTGCCACCGGTGCCCTTCCACAGTTCGGGTTCCATTCTTAGTGCAAGGTAAAGTTCGAAAACCGAGACACTACTTCCAGTTTTGCGGAGTTCATATACTAAATAGTTCGTAAACAGGGCTGTTCTTAAACTGAGGTACCACTGTACATAAGATAGGAAAGAAAGCAGGAACTAATCCTGCATTATTCCTCTGAAGACACATGGAATGTGTCACAATCTGTTCCATTTCCATAAGGCATGAAACATACAGCATATAGCTTAACACACATTTTGACTTAAGCCTCTCAAATTAGTCTCCCCCTCCACTTTCCTTCCCTTACACACACAAAAAAAAGACCTTTCCTTCAAATGAGTAGCCAAAAGATAATTGGAACCAATTATAACTTGTCTAATATAAAATGTGCAGCTGCCCATTGTGGTGAACTGATAAGTCACACAAATAATCTGCGGCAGCAGGGGGTTGACAGGCACCGTCCCATTTCACATGTCTTTCTATAAAAGGAGAGACACACAGATGGAATTTATATTGATTTTTGAAATGTCATACCAAAAACGTAAAAAATAAAAATACCATTAGCTTCTGACCTTTTGATATTTCTGCCGCCATTGATGTATATGTTGATCCTGCCATGCTGCAGGCTTGGAAGAAGGAAATATGTGGCATCTGCTGCAGGACTCCAGCTGCACTGCTGACATAGTTGAAGGCAGAACTCGCTCAGGGAGGATTTGCACCTTTGCCTGCTGTATTCTGATAAAGAGATTTCACACAGGTATGAAAACTGCATCTGTCTGGCTATTTACTCAGCCCCTTTAGCTACATCAATAAGACATCTGGGGGGGGGAAGCACTCCCATAAATTTTAATGGATTTAAAAAATCTCAGTTCCACATTTTACTTTTGCAGCCTATAATGGATACTTATTTGGTTGGATTTTCCCCAGTGCTAGTCAAACCCCAAGGGTCAATAGACGTGCTCCTGAATATAAGTGTGTTCTTTTAAAATGGGCAAAGATATTAAAACCAAACAAGTTCCAAGTCTTAAGCAAAGCTTGCTGCCATCGCGAAACTTGTCTCCTCCCGATATGTGTTACTCAGCTGACATTCCACAGGTAATATCCAATCATAACGAAAATTTTAGTTGAAAAACATGTAAAACATAAGGCAGGTCTAGACAAAGAACTTTATTCCTCAATATTCCTCTTTTTTCCAGATGCCTTTGTTCTCTCCCAGTGTAGAATGGTTACAAAAACCATGCCACCACTACAGAAGAGAACAATCTTATAGAGATGTAGTCAACCAAGTCCAACTCAGAGTAGACCCACTGTAATTAATGAACCTAAGTTAGTCACATCCATTAACTTAACAGGTCTACTCTTTGAATACCACCCTGTTTAAAAAACATTCCCATAACACATATAGTTTCTGACATTAATGTGTGCCGCCATCTTGTGTTCAAATTGCTACATTCCAAGTAAGGATTATGAATTTATTACGAGGGAAACACGTATTTAAATCATTTTCATTCTATACACACAGATTTCTGCAAAACAGACAGAGACCTTAATCATATATTTTCCCTAGTGCTTCCTTTTCAAAAGGTAGTCCAACAGTGGCCAGCTATGGCTTAAAACTTTTCCAGGTTAAGAAAAAAGTGGGATTTTTTTTGGGGGGGGGGGAGAACCCAGGCTTTTGTTTTTTTGAGATGAAAACCCCCAAATTTAAAAGTTCCTGAGGGTTCTTAGGGTGGCAAGTTATGGAAGGTCAACACCACCGCCCCCTGTCAGGAAAACAAGTCTTTAAAAAAAAAATCTCAGAAACCCCCATCTAGCAAAGGACAGGAAACAGCCCCCCTTTCCCAACCTTCTGCATAGTTGGCCAGGCAAAAATATTCCTCTTCTCCCAGGCCTTTGGCTTATTGAACAATCTATGGCCTTTTAAACTGTTGGGTTTATATATATTGTAAAGTGCCCTGTGATCTTCGTAAGAATGGCGGTATAGAAATTTAATTAAAAAAATAATAATCTTAGAATTGGAAGAACTTTTATTTAGGAGTTTGTTTTTTAAAAGTTAAAGACAGTTTTAAATGTTATTTCTGCATTAATTATTGCTATTTATGATGCTGTTTTCTGTAAAGGAGTCATTATCTATTCAACATAAATATTTTATTATTGTTCATCCTCTGCTAGGTCTCTGATGTTGAGGGACAAAGGGAGTAATAAATATCAGTTGTGCCACAAAAGTAGCGATAGTTTTCAGAACCGCTGAAGAGAATAAATGCACTGCTTCATAAAGACATAATCCATAATTTTAAAGGTGTGCATTTATGTAGCACACCACCAAACACCCTGGATTAGTTAACAGTATGACACCGCCAAAATCATATTTACATGGCAAGGAAGTGCCTTCATACCATACACCTGTACACATAAAAGGTATTATTACTCATTACTTAGACATCCCACCTATTTCTCTAAGCAACATCAAACTGTGAAGAGAGAATTTTGAGAAAATTTAAGACTGGCAAGATTGTTAAATTTTGCCGGATATAAACAGGCTCCCCTGTTCAACATTGCCACATATTCCTTATTTCCTTACCCATCTGATTGAGTCCTTATTTCAAGAACCTTAAACCTCTGCCTTCCCACTGCTTTTACTTTGACTGTTTCAATTCCATACTCTTGTGCTTCTCGATAGGCATAAATTTCTGCTGTTGTTCCAAAATGTGCTTCTCTTTCAAGTACGTTACTAAGAAGAAGAAAAACCAACATATCAGGAAAAGCTACTGTAAGCTTGTTTCAGAATTACCTCTTCATCAAGAATCTTCGGTTTCCCCCTCAGCCCCCAAGCTGCTCGAGATTTTCAGGAAATGAGTGTAACAACACAAAACAACAATGCAACAGTCCATAACATTCTCCATTACAGATATGGCATAAATTTCACATAACTGCAAATCTATTTACTAATTTACCTGTATGCAAGAACAGCAAAGGTTCTGTCTTTCTGTATTAAATTCCGCACCATGCTAACCTCTTGGGGACTAAAGAGCTGAAGAGGCAGTGTTTGTCCAGGAATCAACATTACCATCAGATGGGGTAAGACTGGAATAGTCTGACAACTGTCATCATCATGGACAGTCCTTCCATGAAACTCTTCCATATCAGATCCTAAATACTTTCCAAAATAAGAAATAAAAAGCAGTTAGAAGTCACAATTCAGTGGGAGGGTTCTTGGAATCATTCACAGTTTATAAACGCAAAAATTAAAGACAACAGAGCTTTAGGATGAATGGACTAGATCTACGGAACCCTAAGAAAAACAAAAATAGCCACTAGTGTTTCCCATGCTTGCAGTACAATTGAGCCTCATCTTCTACATATTTAACATATGCAATTTCAATCGTACATGCTTGGCTGCACCTCTGTTCCAGATCCATTCCAGCCTTTTTCTTCTGCCTTTGTGTCTCTCTGTCTCCCTCCCTCCTCCTCCCTTCTGCCTGGTGATCACTGGCATATGAAGTAAGGAGAGGCAGTGTCCAACTTAAATAAATGTCTTTTCAAGTTTTGTTAAATAAATGCCCAGGAATTACTCTACAATACTTTCTTGTGCACATAAAATATATGCTTTGCCATTGGGATATATGGTCCCTTAAGTTCCTCTTCACTCCGTGCTCCTTCTTCCTTGCCGGCTAAAGAAAAGGTAATTTTGGCTACGTGCAACCATTGGAACTAAACCCCTGTATACTAGGCAATGTGACTATAGTGCTAACTGGAAGTGAGTGCACAGCCCTATAAGAAGATATTTTTCCATAACAGGATGAGGCAAAAAGTCGCTCTAGTAGGAGAACATGACTGGATTTAGGTTCACTTTCTTGCTACTACCATGAGGTAAAATTGGAAGTCACAGGAAAAAGTAAAATCTCTTTGGGAGTGGAAGATGGTTTTTGATGGTTGCATATACATAGTCCCTGGGGCTCTAAATTTCCAACATGGAACACAGATGCTGAGGAAAGAGCAACAATATGACACACATACCACATGTGAAGTTGGCAGGCTAGTATCAAAATTAATGATGTTTGGCTTTTCAGTCTCCTTGCTGTCTTGATCTTCAACTTCCATGTCAACGTCATCTTCTTCCTCACTCTCTGCTAAGAAGTCCAAGAAAGTTTTTTGAAAAACAGAAGACAAGTTGTCAAAAAAATAAAGTACCACAAGTATTAAATTGCCTAAAATAGTTGATATCAGGGAAATATTCCCGAAAAAAATGATGGTGAAAGTCCATCACTTGCAATGTACTGTGACAAATTATAATATAATATAAGCAGTTGCCTTATATGGACTAGCCAAATATCATTTACACTACCTAGAAACAAGTGTCCAACTTAAATAAATGTCTTTTCAAGTTTTGTTAAATAAATGCCCAGGAATTACTCTACAATACTTTCTTGTGCACATAAAATATATGCTTTGCCATTGGGATACATGGTCCCTTAAGTTCCTCTTCACTCCGTGCCCACAAAAACTGTTCTAGAGGGTTGGGCAACCCTTTGCAGAAGTGAGGCAAGTGGTAGTGGGGGGAAGATCACTGAGCTTCTTCAATCCACAGGAAGCCCATAGGATCCTGGTTTCTTCAGCAAACAGTGAGAGAAAAGTCTGCATCCAACCCACAAAACAGAACAGAAGCTCTATGTACTGAGCTCTACAAAAACAATATGGATCTCTGCATGACAGACTCAAAAGGCTAATATGCAAAATGCTTGTGACAAAGTCACCAGTGATATTTTTGAAGGAGGTGGTAAAATGTGGGCTGGATGAGGTTACTGTTAGGTAGAGTTGCAGCTAGCAAAGAGTGATCACTAATGGTTTCTCATTATCCCGGAGAAAACGGACAAGTGGAATGCCCCAAGGTTCTTTCCTAGGCCTGTTGTTCAAAGTCTTTATAAACGATTTGGATGAAGGAATTGAGGGGATGCTCATCCAATTTGCAGGTGACACCAAACTGGGAGGGGTAGCAACTGGACGCCTAAAACAAATTAGACATTTCTCACAGCAATATCTCACTTTCAAAATCACTCTGTTGTAATGGTACTTTATTAACCACACCACTTTAGTTTTTACGGTACCTCCATTAGAAAAATGCTAACCATGCAGGTTACTTTTTTGTGATTCTGATAAAAAATCAGAATGCCAAATCAGGTAAATAAGATGGATACGGAAAGATGTTCTGGGCCAAACTAGACATGACTTTTATTGTGCAGTTTCGTTTTGTACGGCTGTTCTTTGTTTAACATGTTGCTGGCACAAGGGACATACAGGATTTGGAATGTTGCCTGTGGGTGGTGGTTTGGAGAGGATTTAATCATTTGCTTCCATCATGGTCCAATCAGAATATCCAGTTGACCTATTTGTTAAACAAAACGTAGCTATGAAATGCCAAACTGCATTATAGCAAGCACATCTAGTTTGTTCTGCAGTCTTGGGCTAGCTCTAGCTGAGTAGTCAAGGCACTCACACCCATTCATGAATTACTGTAGAGCAGAAATCTATGCTGATTTGCATCTTTTCATGCTTCTTTAATATTCTAATGCCACTTCAGCAAACATTCCCAGTGTTTCCTGTAATTGTATGTCCCTTTTTTAAAAAAAACAAACAAACAGCAAACAGAATACCCTCAATACCATAGATAACGTAAACCATAATCTTTGCACCTGATTTGTAGCCTCTAAATCACTAGGGTGCATTAACATTTTTCCTTTCCATACTAGCTCTCTAACCCAATTCTGGTGTTAGTTCTACTAACAGGTAAACATGGAGACACAGGTGTGCTGCCAAACCTCTCCACTATGTCATCATTACCACCTTCAATTAATCTGATGGTAAAGATCTGGAGCAGGGAGCCTCCTCTACTCATGGCGATTCCATGCACAGTTTAGAAAACCTTAGACAAAAACTAAACTATGGGGCCAAGCACACTTTCTTAGGCAGGGCATTCCAACATCCCTTTCTGCCCATCAACCATACATCAGATGATGGGAAGACAAACTGGGGAAAAAAAATATTTCTTCTTTGGCCAGAATTTAATTTGAAGGGCTTGTTTAGTTGTGATTCTTGTTGCTACCTCCATTCTACTCCCCTGGGTTATGGCAAATTAACCTGAAGGAAACAATCCCTCCGCACAATTACATTTAAAAATACACAGCTGCTCAGCTGTTAGGTGAACAGGCAAATTATTTCACAAAAACTACAGTCCATAATAGTACAAGGCCAGATGGAGAGTGAAACACAGTGTGGAGCAGTAGGAGTGCATCATAAAACACGGGCGGCATTTTTTGACTAAGCTGTAGAAAGCTATGTCATAAAGTGTAAGTCCGTTCACCCCATTGAAACAGCAATCATTACTCTCCAGAATGTAGGTCAAGCTACAAGTCACCATGGTGAGCACAGCTCAGCCCCCAAACTCCAAGAGATGCCTAGGATCAAGGGTAGTCAAAATGGTAATGTCCGGATAATGCTGTATTGAAACTCCTATCATCCCTGACTATAGGTGATGCAGGAAGTCCAACAATGTATAAGGGACACCACATTAGCTAACCTTGATCTAGACCACGAGGATGATGAATGATTCTACCTTGCCATGACATTCCTACACCATTTTATCAATATGAACAGTATTGGCATACCATGACACATTCAACACACAAGGTAAATTAAAATTTACTGTGTTGAAATTTTAAGACAGTCAAAATGACACTTCTTTCCCTGCACTGCTGTTGCAGAAGCAACTATAGCCACATACAGTGGTACCTTGGGTTAAGTACTTAATTCGTTCCGGAGGGCCGTACTTAACCTGAAACTGTTCTTAACCTGAAGCACCACTTTAGCTAATGGGGCCTCCTGCTGCTGCTTCAGAGCACAATTTCTGTTCTCATCCTGAAGTAAAGTTCTTAACCTGAAGCAATATTTCTGGGTTAGCGGAGTGTGTAACCTGAAGCGTATGTAACCCGAGGTACCACTGTACTTAAGATTGCTTCTGAAATCTTAAAATGCTGGTCTCATATTTTCTATGCTGTTAGAACACAGAGTAGCTCATCACCAACTTTCACATTTCACAAATAGTTTATCAGGTTATGTTACTTTTCAATAATTTTTTTAAAGGCCTATTTGCAGAAGGCAATTTTATCTACATTCCATTATAAAGCTTCCCTTTGAAGCTTGATCAAATGGTGGCTGCAACCTTTAAAATGTGCTGCCATTTACTTTTAGCATGAGGTCGTGTTTCATTCTCAAGACCACCTCATGTTAAGCACTCTTCTGTTTCTCATTTTCACTTATTTTAACACGAAAAGAAGTGGCAGCCTAACTGGGATGCATTTTGGCTGAAAGAGCCTAAAGCCTGTGAAGAGCGATGACTCATCTTACTGCAGTGGCACAATGGAAAAAACCCATCACTTTAGCCTATCTTTCTCAGATGCAAGATAAAATACAGATGGATGAAGACACCACACATCTTGCCTTCTATCATCTTAAGATGGAAGTGAAATTACACACATATTTTAAGATATATTAAATTAAGGTAAACATCAAAAATAATTTCCAGAGGGATAGCTGTGTTAAATGTTGCAGCAAAAAATAAGAGTTCACCACAGAGGCTTATGCCACAACCAATTTGTTAGTGTTTCAGGTAACACAGTACAGTATGGTTTGCTGTTGTGCAAAACAACATATTTTATTTATATTTGAAACATTTATATTCTGCAGGATATGGATTATGAAGTTCATTTGTCAATAGTCTTGTGATACTGAAGTTCTCCTTTGGATAACTGGGGAACAGTAATTATGAGTCTGACACTTTTGAGAGTCACAGTTTTACAGAAAGGACACAGTCACAGTCTTTGATTGTACATTTCTACAACACAGGACAGCATACTGAATGGTTGGAGAAAGGTCCTGAAGATTCATAGCAGTGGGTTATGTACAGTGGTGCCTCGCAAGACGAAATTAATTCGGTCCGCAAGTTTTTTCTTCTTGCGAGTTTTTCGTCTTGCGATGCACGGTTTCCCATAGGAATGCATTGAAAATCAATTAATGCGTTCCTAGGGAAACCGACTTCAGACCAGGTCCGGGACAGTCTGTCCCCCGACCTCTTCTGAAGGCTGGGGGGGGGGGACAAGGGCTTTTCTTCCCACCCCCAGCATTTTAAAAAACCCCGGGACAGCGGAGAGCTTCTCCGCTGTCCGGGGCGATCTTAAAATGCTGGCGGGCGGCATTTTAAAATTGCCCCGGGACAGCGGAGGACTTCTCCGCTGTCCGGGGCAATTTAAAAGCCCCTGCGAAGGCAGGCAGGGGGACAAAGACTTTGCCCCCGCCAGCCTTCAGAAGAGGTCCAGGACCTCTTCTGAAGGCTGGCGGGGGGCAAAAGTCTTTGTCCCCCCTGCCTGCCTTCAAAAGCTGTCCAGCCAAGGCTTCGCGGACCTCTCCGCAAGCAGCGGCCGCGCTGCCGCGGCTCGCGGAGAGTTGCCGGCATGCCGAAGCCGGCGCGCGCTTAGATCAGCGCGCCCAGGCTTCGCGGACCTCTCCGCGAGCAGCGGCAGCGCTGCCGCTGCTCGCGGAGAGCTGCCGGCATGCCGAGCCTGCGCGCGCTGAGATCAGCGCGCCCAGGCTTCGCGGACCTCTCCGCGAGCAGCGGCAGCGCTGCCGCTGCTCGCGGAGAGTTGCCGGCATGCCGGAGCCTGCGCGCGCTGAGATCAGCGCGCCCAGGCTTCGCGGACCTCTCCGCGAGCAGCGGCAGCGCTGCCGCTGCTCGCGGAGAGTTGCCGGCATGCCGAAGCCTGGGCGCGCTGAGATCAGCGCGCCCAGGCTTCGCGGACCTCTCCGCGAGCAGCGGCAGCGCTGCCGCTGCTCGCGGAGAGTTGCCGGCATGCCGAAGCCTGGGCGCGCTGAGATCAGCGCGCCCAGGCGTCGCGGACCTCTCCGCGAGCAGCGGCAGCGCTGCCGCGGCTCGCGGCGAGGTGCCGGCCTGCCGCAGCCTGCGCGCGCGGAGATCAGCGCGCCCAGGCTTCGCGGACCTCTCCGCGAGCAGCGGCAGCGCTGCCGCTGCTCGCGGAGAGCTGCCGGCATGCCGGAGCCTGCGCGCGCTGAGATCAGCGCGCCCAGGCTTCGCGGACCTCTCCGCGAGCAGCGGCAGCGCTGCCGCTGCTCGCGGAGAGTTGCCGGCATGCCGGAGCCTGGGCGCGCTGAGATCAGCGCGCCCAGGCTTCGCGGACCTCTCCGCGAGCAGCGGCAGCGCTGCCGCTGCTCGCGGAGAGTTGCCGGCATGCCGAAGCCTGGGCGCGCTGAGATCAGCGCGCCCAGGCTTCGCGGACCTCTCCGCGAGCAGCGGCAGCGCTGCCGCTGCTCGCGGAGAGTTGCCGGCATGCCGAAGCCTGCGCGCGCTGAGATCAGCGCGCCCAGGCTTCAGCGGACCGGAGATTTCCCTATGGGCTTTCGTCTTGCGAAGCAAGCCCATAGGGAAATTGCTTATGAAGCGCCTCCAAAACGGAAAACCCTTTCGTCTAGCGGGTTTTTCGTCTTGCGAGGCGTTCGTCTTGCGGGGCACCACTGTACCAACCTCAGGTAGAACCAGCAAAACTGTCAAAACTCTTGTGTGTATTTTAGGCAAGAACAGAAATGTACTGTATTGAAAAACAGCTAAACAACCTCTTGCATCTGGTTGGGCTTAAAAGTGGATCCCAAGTCACAGATAGTAGATAATAATAATATTTTTTATTTATACCCCGCCTTCCCCAGCCAAGGCCGGGCTCAGATCCCAAAACGCTGGTACTACTGCTCTAATTAAATCATCTGCTCTAAGGCTGAATCTCCCATGTTATCTATTAAACTTTGTTTGGCTACTGGCATCCATGGCATGGTGAAGTTTGCTTTCTTCCTGCTCTCTGATGATAGTGCAACAAAATCTATAGAGATGGTTACCCAACTTCTAAATTAAGTTGCACTATAAGCAGAGAGCAGGAGTAAAGCAAAGTTCACAATGCCAAGGGTGCCAGTAGCCAAAAATAGTCTAATTGCTCAATACAAATGGTTCAAAGAATAAAGTCAAATTACATACTGAACAGAAAGCCAAGTTGACTTTACTCTTTGCCACAGTCTTATGCAAAAGCAACCAATTTTTCCATATGCAAATAGTATGTAAACTGAGCATTCCTCCCTGAACACTAGACTAATACTAAGAAGTCTTATTAATATTAATTCTACATATTAACTTGCAGCCAACATATTACAAGAAAACAGCTGGAAAAACAGGTTTAGTCACAATCTTTCCTTTCAGTTTCATTCTTTAAGGATAACACCTACCACAGTATCCATGCAACCAGCCTATTGCACACGACTAAGCAAAGTATGCTGTTTTCTCCCTTCATTTCCTTTCCACCTTTACTTTCTTGCAACCATTCCAATATACCCAGCTGCTCACCTTGTTCATTTCCTCTCTGAAGTATATTCCAAGTGAAAGCTTTTCAGGAAATGCGACTCATTCAATAGAATAATATACTACTATTGCTAACTTGTTTTTAACACGTAGTAAGGAATCATTCTGTTCTTAATAAGCAAGGAATCTTTTTGATTTCTAACCTAAACCCAATGAAGAAAATAATTTTATTGTGAACTATGTATTGAATCTGACTGTGCTTGACACCTCATAACTAATTATGCATGCCAAAAAACTTAGCAGAAGGCAGTTAGGCCTGTCTTGATTTTTTTAAAAAAATGGAAATGCTTACTTTACTGCTAACGATCAATAATGTGTGGTGAAGTAAAAACCCCTTAAACAAAAATGAAAAATATAAAGTCTGAGGTGAGCAGATACTTATAATTGAGGCATCATCAAAAAGACCCAGCTGTCACCCCTCTACATGGTATGACATTGTACAAATGGGGTAAATGGGGTACAGTGTTCAGCTGAAAGCTGGTAGGCCCTGCAAAACAGCAAATAGCCTATGGTCAGTAGCTAGCCCCATCACTGTTGCAGATGACATAGTGTGAGTGTCAAAGAGTAGTTTTCTACTAATCTCCACAAAAAGAAAAGAGATAATGGTCTATTTTTTTCCAATTAGAAGTGGCCAGAATTTTTCCCCTTTTCTTATTTTTCAGTTTGAAACACGCAGAAATTCAGCTCTGCCCTCCTAACAGAGGCTGCCTGAACTGAATTGCTTTGGGTGACAGAACCACCAGTCTTATGACCACAAAATTGTGCACATATAATATTAAAGGATTAGTAAATGGAACACAGATCTAATGTAGATAGCCCTTTGAGTCTTCTCTTATCAAAGTAAACCAGTAATTGTTTCCCTAAGCTACCTTCTCTTACCACTACAGCACATCCAACTGAAAGCTATTCGGATAAAATATATATGGCCTGCTACAGACATATTTTAAACAATTTGGGCTTTTAGTTGTTTGTGGTTTTGTTTTTTAACAGAATCAAAATTTATATTGACTACAGAAAACCCTGTATTCATCACAGCCAAATTTATGGCACCTCTTTTGCTCATATGACACTTTCTCTTTCATCACAGAACAATCTCCTCAGCAGCCATTTCAGCTGGTCACTAGAAGAACAATTATGTAACTTAACTTCAAGAAACAGCATACAGTATTCATTTTCTTGTTTCTCTTTCCCTCCCTATTCCTTTTTTACTGAATCTATTAAAGTGAAAGTCCGCAGGCCAGGACTCTTGTTCTTAAATCTCTGTACAGTGGTACCTCAGGTTACGAACTTAATTCATTCTGGAGGTCCGTTCTTAACCCGAAACCGTTCTTAACCTGAGGCACGCTTTCGCTAATAGGGCCTCCATTCTCATCCTGGGGCAAAGTCCTCAACTCGAGGTACTACTTCTAGGTTAGTGAAGTTTGTAACCCAAAATGTTTGTAACCCGAGGTACCACTGTATAGTACCTAGAACATTTTGGGTGCTTTGTAAATGATAAATAGTAATTTTAAAAACTATTGTGAACCATTCCTTAGCACATATCATCAATCTTTCCCCCCATTCCCCATTGACAGACAACATCACAGAGATTAGTTATGACAGCTTAAAACAACATCTCACAATTCAGAGTGAGTGACCTGCTGGAGATACATCAATGGCATCCATCTGTTTCGGGAGAAAATGGAGTGCGCCTCCAAGTGTGAAGTCAAATCGTTGTGATAGCACAGAAGTGACCTCCCTGGAGCACAAGCCTGGGAAGTGTGTGTGGAGGTCCTGGGCTACCCAAATGACAAGACCCCCTACTCAGCCTCATTGATGGGGGAAAGCAGAACAGTATGTCTGGCACCAGCTTGGCTGCATGAGTTGCCAAAAGTAGGCATACAAGGTGCCATCCAACTATCTTAGGGACTCCACTCTGGATTTTGTGTAAGGTTTACTTCTTAGCCTTATACCCCTGATGACACACAGGGGACAGATATCACAATCACTTGGGGGCATTTGGCTGACTACTGTTTGACAAAGAAAAGCAAATTTTAATACTCCTACTTTACAAGTCTGAACTGTTACTACTATACAGCACAATGTTTATATAGTAGCAGCAGATTTGTGAATACTTACCACAAGCCTTACACATTTCCCCCCTTGTTCCAGTTCCTTAAATCCTAATGGCCTATGTCTCAGTCTGCTACTTTTGATTCTTATTCTTGTTCTTGGTTCTCACCTCCACCAGCTTTCCAGTACCATGTTGCTTATTCTCTTTCTGCCCCAGTCATACAATATTTCCCGCCTGACTCCATTCCAAACGCCAGATCCCTCACCACCCAATGTCACAAATACCCATCCATCTTCCTGCCTTTATTGTTTCCTCGCCAAAATATGATACCTCACTATTACTCCAGACTCTTCTTAATCTGTGACCCTGGAAGATTTCCCCTACCCTCCCTTAACACTTCAGTTCTCTGTCCTGCCTCAAGTTCCAGGCTCCAATACTCTCTCAAGACCACAATTCCCTACCCTTCCTTTTCTGTCCACAACAACATCCCAGTGCCCACACTTGCACTTTTCCCTTTCTGTTCCTTCAGGTCACCATCTCCATCTTCGCACTCATCTTTGGAACCAAGGATTGCAGCCTCGGTTCCCTGGCACAACTCCTATGCCTTTAGTGGCACCGGAGAGAGGCAGAAACCTAACTGGAAAAGTCCTTGCATCCTCCTGCGATAAAAAACCCACACATATGTCCACCTGTTTGCTGTGTTGCTTAAGGAGCAGGCAGGAGTGGTTCCAGATGCTCCTCCAGCTTTATGCAGACAGATGGCAGCGGGATGCTAATTCCTCCCAACGCAGTCTCACCCTTCCTTGCCTTTGGAATGTGTCAGCTCCTCTCCTCCCTTACTCCAGACACACCCCACTTTTCCAACTTAAGGCCACCCATCCCAGTCCCTGTCCCCACACCCACTGCCTACGCCAAGGGCTCCAGTAACCCATATTATCTGGGCCTCGGCACCACCTCTTCCCCACCCCACACCCAGTACACTACACACATTTTCCCTCCCCCAATTCCTGAAACTGCCAGCTCTCACCCATGCCTTGCCTTCTCCCAAAGCAACTCCAGTTCCTAAAAGCCCTAGCGCTGCGGTTTCCTTAAGAGTCTCCCCTTCCCAATTCCTTTGCTTCCGATACACCCACTCCCCTATTTCCTTCCTCTCTTCCCCACAAACCTCTTTAAACACACCCCAACTGTCACAACCCCCCGGCCCCCTCACCCCACCCCACTCCTCCTCCAGGAAGCTCTTCGGAGCCAGTGGCTTTTACCTTGCCCGAGTCTTATTGCCCCCACCCCCAGCAGCGCCCCATTTCTTTTTGCCACGCACTAGGCGCCGCCGCCCCCCACCCAAATACCTCGGGAGACTTCGCACGCCCTTCTGCCTCCCCCGCCGCCCACCCTTGAAGGGCCGGCCCGCGCCGCGCGCCGGGAGCGACCATTACCGGGAATGAGCTGCAAGTGGTTCCCCATGTTGTTATCCTGTTCTCCGCCTCCTTCGTCTGCGGCCATCGCTGTTTACCCGGAGAGGAGCCTGGGAAGGCGCCGCGAGGAGGGAGGGAGAGGAGGCGGCCCTTGCAAGGGGAGCTGCGAATCCGGCGGGGGCGGCAGCGGCTTCTAGCGACCTGAGGGAGCGCTGCACCTTCCTTGCTGCTGCTGCTTCCTCAGAAATGCTCCCCAACAGCATTTGCAGAAATTGCTCCCAAACAGCAATCCCCGCTTCCCCTCTTCGGATAGGAACCGGGGGGATGCAAAATGCAAAAGACAAAGGGCGCATGAGGACGGTTCGGCACTGCACTGCGCGGCCTTTTCCTTTCTAAAGAAATCTAAAGAAGTGGTGCTTTTGAGCCACCAAACCCATAGGGAATCCCATAACTCTTTTCTGTCTGTGGAATGTTCTTCGTCACACACACACACACACACACACACACACACACACACACACAGACAGTGTTACTTCTGTGCCATTACAAGACTGCATCGCAGACAGAAACCCAACCGGGGACGCTTTTCGCGTTCGAGGCACTTCCGCTAGTTTGCCCACTAAATTCCTGGAACTTACAAAAGGCAAGTGTATTTGTGTTGGGGAGGGTGGTGAAGAAACCCTAAATGTGACATTGTTCAATTACTTCCTATGTTGCTTCTGAAGCATGCTTCTTCAATAGCTGTTTCATTATCCTCTACGACACTCTGTAAGGCCAGGGTTGGGATGCTCAGGCCCAGGGGCCAAATGTGGCCCTCCAGTTCTCTCGACTCTGACCTCAGCGCTCTCATACCACACCCACTTCTGCCCTTCCTGGATGCTTTTGCCTGGCTAGCAAATGTTTCCTTGAACTCTGATAAATGCTTTCTGGCTGCCTGGATGGAGGATAGATAGAGAAAGGTGTGCAAGTGCGTGTAGGAGACACATTTATTGTTCTGACCCACCCATCACTGGTTCCCATCCCACCCACCCATCACTGGTATGCACCCCAGGAGGGAATGTGGCCATTGCTGCAGTGAGGTTAAGACTCCCATTTTAAAGATGCAGAACTGAGGCTGAGTGAAAGGCATGTGATTTGCCTGTGGCTGTTTAGGAAGCTGATGACTGAACAGGCATTTCCAGCACACCAGCTTTCTATATTTCCATGCGTAGTAAGCTGAGGACTAAAGGACTACTGGTAGCAAAGGTGAAATCTGTACATGGCATAGATGTCCCCCCCCCCCTTACTAATGTTCTAGCTACAGATACTCAAAATAGTTCAGACCATATTTTCCCACCATAAGATATTGCAGGAGCACTACCACCATGCAAATATGTGGTAAAAGATTAAGAAATGGGTCCCCAAATGCATTGGGCTAAAAGTGGGTCTTGGGTCCAAAAAGGTTGAAGATTAGTGAAGGCATATCATCTGCCTTGTCACATTGGTTTTCTAAACATATGGGTCTTCCTTCCTTCCTTCCTGCCGTATCATTTGTCACTTGAAAGCTAGCTTTGCATCCCTTTTCTAACATAACATAGACCAGAATAACTCACCAAGAAAAAAATGTGTCATCATTTTCTGTGCACTAGAGAGATCAATAGGGGTGGGGGGAGTTGGCTCACAAATAAATATATCAGCATTTTACACACATAATTGCCCAGTCAAATATTAGCTAGATATTTAGCTAACTGCTCTGTGGATGTAAGCCTGGATTTGACGTCTGAGCATTGGTATTTGCAGATCACTCCAATTTATGAATGCATTCATGTGTATACATGCAAGGGAATAGAGTACATTGCTGGGTTCCTAGTGCTGAGCGATGACAGAGGCGGGCAAAGCCATTTGATTACCAGAGGTGCACTTGGATGGTATATTCCAACTCATTCACTGTGATTATCCAGAGGACCACTGCCAGTTGACCCCTGTGTTATAAAGGCCCAACCAGCCTCCACTGGAAGTTGGGCATTTAGTGTCATCATTCTTCCAGCAAAGATTTGACAGGTACCCTCACTTTTGACCTCAGGAGTCTCTTGAAGACCTTATGTAGACAGACTTATGTAACTGTTCAAATGTTTTGATTTTTCAGTCATTTAAGAGTCTATTTCTTACTGCTATTATATTTCACTCTATATATTGCTGCACACCATCATGCTATATTGTTATAACTGGCAGCATATAAATACTTTTATAAATGTTGCAGTAGACATGCCGTTGAAGAGAGCAAAAATATAGTGGGCACAACAGAAACTTGGTGGAATGGAAAGAACCAGTCAGATACAGTTATATTTACAGATACAAACTCTGTAGAAAAATCAGTGGAGATGGAGGTGGCGTCTCTCTGTTTGCCAAAGAGGGCATAGAGCCCAACAAGCTGGAAATCCCAAGAAGGGCAGACTGCTCCACAGATTCATTGTGGGTGGCGATACCATCCCTCATGCATACTGGGGACATTCTGTTGTGACACTGATCTGACTCAGCTGGTACAGCACGAGACTCTTAATTTCAGGGTTGTGGGTTCGAGCCCCACGTTGGGTGAAAGATTGCTGCATTGCGGAGGGGTAGACTAATGATCTTCATAGTCTCTTCCACTCTGCAGGTCTATAATTCCCCTGAGCCAAATGTTCAGGGGGATCTTGGGAGGCCGAAGGAAATAAAGCAGGCATCTAAAAGAGAATATTCTCTAGTAATAGCAGTTCACTTGGGAACATGATTGCTGCTGTCCCCAATACTAGGTGGTCTCACCTGTTGTGAGAGTGATCCCACAGCGCGGCAGAATTCAGATTGTCCCTGTGCAGCCGCAAAACTCCTTCAGCATAGTCTCCCATAATTATAGCAATCAATTTGGTAACATATGTTAATTAATAGCTTTTAAAATGTATTTTCTATTACAACTACAACCGGGGAATAGTATCCGTCTGAATTTTGGATCTCAGTAAGAGGACAATGACATTTAGTAGATGAAACTGAGACACTCTTTCAACACTCATTTTCATTTAGTAAGAAATCCAGCAATCATCGCATAGAAAATATGCTCTATGGCTAATTAGCATCAATAGTTTGAACATGTGCATGTGTTCAAACATGAAACAAATTGCAACAGTAAACAGACCTAATCATAACAGATTGCAATATCAGACATAAGGTAATCCCTGATGCTTTACTGACTGACTGAGAACCATGCAACAAAGCTGCTAGGTTTGCCAGCGCTTCTCCTCTTGACTATATTAGATGACGGGCATGTTTATAATCTAACTAATTACAAAAGAGATGAACAATGCAATTCTAGAGAGACACTAATTTAAATTATTGCTATGCATTCCCACAAGTCACAGCATTCCAAACTGTTGACTACATTTTCTTTTTAAAAGAGGCAAAACGAAGTTTGAGAGGAGAGCTTGTTTGAACCCCTCTTGTGCTTGGAAGGGAGTCAGCTTTCAGTCCAGGCTCCTGATGTGCTCTTGAGGTAATAAGCATGTGCAAGCAGTCTGTCACAGGTATAGCCTCTAAGAACACAAGAGCCTGCTGGCCCATCTAGTCCAGCTTACTGTTCTCAAAATGGCTGACCAGATGCTTGTGGGAAACCAGCAAGCAGGATTCGAGCACAGGAGCCCTCTCCCCTCCCGCGGTTTGCAGCATTGCTGCTTCAGACTTTGGAGGCTAAGCTTAGCCATTGTAGCTAGTAGCTTTCGATAGCCCTCTCCTCCATGAATTTGTCTGTAATTTTACATGCCACTGAAAATATTATTGTGAAATAATATATAATATTTTTGAGAATACAAGGTGCTTTGAATGATGATGGCTAGCAACCAACATGGTTTTCAAAGGTGATTAGACAAATCCATGAAAGAATCAGGCTATCAATGGCTACTACTATGTAATTTCTGGGATCAGAGGAAACAAGCCTCTGAATACAGTGGTACCTCGGGTTAAGTACTTAATTCGTTCCGGAGGTCCATACTTAACCTGAAACTGTTCTTAACCTGAAGCACCACTTTAGCTAATGGGTCCTCCTCCTGCTGCTGCGCCGCCGGAGCACGATTTCTGTTCTCATCCTGAAGCAAAGTTCTTAACCCGAAGCACTATTTCTGGGTTAGCGGAGTCTGTAACCTGAAGTGTATGTAACCTGAAGCATATGTAACCTGAGGTACCACTGTACCAGTTTTTGTGAAACGGCAGAGGGAAAGAGCTATTGTCCTCAAGTCTGCCTCTTGAATCTCCAATAGGCATCTAGTTGGCCACTGTGTGAAATAGGTTTCTGGACTATATAGGCCTTTGGTCCTAATCAAACAGGGCTTTTCTTATGAGCGGGATGTGCAGCATGGTGATATATGGATATGACAGCTTGTCTCATATGACTGGTTCCCCATATGCACATTTAGGAACTCTGAATGAAAAACCAGAAGTCTGAACCTGGACTCACAATGAGCATAAAACTGAGTTAAATAGTTCTGATGGGGTATAAAGATAGGAGATGGGAGGGAACAGGACTACAAGTCTTCCAACAGGGATGGAGAATGAGACTTTGATGGGAAATTGCCTTTCTATCCCACTATTGCCTACGCTTGAGTAGCCATGGCTCTCCACCTCTCAGGCTTTCCCCATCACCCGCTACTTGACACTCGAATCCAGGACTCTCTGCATGCCAAGCACAGAGGTCTACCATTGAGCTATGGTCCCTACCATGGGTGGACATTGATTCTCATTCTCAACTCTGATTGGTGAAGCTTAGCATGTAAGATCTGCTGGAATCCCTGCATAGAATTTATTAAATGGCTAAACTCCCTGATGCTTTTCATATATCACAAGAAAGAAGGCAGCACATAGGGAATGGGGTTCTTATAATTTTTATGAATTATGAACGAGTACTGTTCCGTTGTTCGCTCCCTGCTCCTGCCAACCCAGCAGTTCGAAAGCACGTCAAAGTGCAAGTAGATAAATAGGTACTGCTCTGGCGGGAAGGTAAACGGCGTTTCCGTGCGCTGCTCTTGTTCGCCAGAAGCGGCTTAGTCATGCTGGCCACATGACCCGGAAGCTGGACGCCGGCTCCCTCGGCCAGTAAAGCGAGATGAGCGCCACAACCCCAGAGTCAGCCACGACTGGACCTAATGGTCAGGGGTCCCTTTACCTTTACCTTACTGTTGAAATACTCATGTGTCACAGTTACAATCCAGTTGTAACTATTGCTTCAAGTTAGTAATTTCTTTTTATCGAAAGCTTTTAAATCTGTACAGAATCTATTCTCAAGACTGACAGATCAGTGAGTTGCCTGACAGATATTGTATACAACAACAAAATGATATAAAACAAAATTGCTAATCCCTCACCTGAGAAATGCTTGTTCTAAGGTAATTTGACAGGTAAGGGTCAAATGGAGATACCAAACCACCACCAAAGACTGTCTGTAGATTTATTTATTTTTTAATATCTGAAAACCTCATTTTCAAAAGGCACCAGGAAGGAATATTTAACCTCTATGAGTGATTTGCAAAAGACCAAAATGTTTGAGCTCTGAGCCAGGAAGCTCCTAACTTAAATTCTTCATGAAACCATGAACTCACCACGTCACTGCTATGAGCATCAATCTAGCCCACTTTTGTTTGCCATATATGGATAATACTGACTTATGTACCTTGCAAGGGTTATTGTAAACATTACTAACAGATTTGAATAGTGTAGTGTAATACTAGCTGCAAGAAGCAGGTTTCTTTCAAAGCTTTCTGCATTTTAAAAGCTTGCATTGTTTTCTGTATCATTATTGATTCAACGTGGAGTGATTATATAGATAGGATAATAAAGAAAGGAAGATATTAGATGTCTTCTTCTGTCAGCTTGTGAGCCAATGTGACTGAAAGGTATTGATTAGTTCCAAAGATTCTATTATCCCAAGACCTATTGAGTTTTTACTTACCTAGTATTTGCTGTAATCCTCCACAGAATTTTCCAGGAAATCTGGTATGTTATATCTTAAAGGTCTTAGGGTTGAATCGTTTCATATACTTCTTTACAGTGCTCATTGGCACTTGGCAATCTCAGCTGTCACTACTTTGACAAACAAAGGTGGAAGAAGTTACAATAAGAAGGGAGGGGTTGGATGGATGCTTTTTATAGTCTGTCCTTCACATACTTGTACTGCTAACTGTGCACTTCAGATGTGGAATAACAAAATTATGTGGCATCAGTCTTCGGTATCGGCTTCCATAGTTAAGAACCTTCTTCAACAGACATATAAAATGAGCAGTGAGGACAGGCAAAATAACATTGCTGTGTAAGACATTGGCCTGGTTTGCATGTCACGCTAAGCCAAATCATGACTTAGTGCAGATGCACGAGTGTGCAGACTGCTAAAGAGGAGATCAAAGCTCATTTGTCCTTATTGGTCATTCTGCTGGTCTGCTGAGCTAGGCTATGGTTTGGTGTAGCGTGCTGACCAAACCTGGCTTGTGGTCTAACTCTCCTGAATAAACCAGGAGCTGTAAACAGTAAGACAAACGTTGTGGTTAATCTGGACATGATTAAACCATGAGCCTGTGTTCGGATGACATACTAAGGCAAACCATGGCCCAGTGCATTTCTGCAGCAGAATGACCGAGAAGGAGCAAAATGACCACGGCCTCCCATCTAGCAGTCACATTCTTCCACATTTGCACTAAGCCCTGGTTTAAGCACCAATCAAAATGGAGGGAGTGGGTGAAACCACGCACAAAATATACACGACAAAACAAACAACACATATATTCGTGAAATATGTTATTCTTAGGAAATAACAAATTATTACTAATAATAGTGCTCTATTTGACTATCACTCAATCGGAAGTCAGCACTATAAGGTGCTTTTTGGCAATTACGTATATTTATTTAGCATCTCTATCACATTTCTTTGTGAATGTTTAAAGGAACACTCTGATATTTGTGAAAACAATGACATTGAATCAAGTAAATCAACTTTTGTCTTTGTTTGGCAGGAAGCTTAGTTGGAAGGCATGGTGATCTAGTAAAGTTTGCAATATCAAATATTCTGTTTGAGTGAGTAGATGGCTCGAGCAGAATTAAATACAATCAAACTGCAGAAAATGAAAGCTTCTTACATTTACTGTTTTTAATTCTAACCCAAATACTTCTGCAAATGATTTTTCTCTTTAATCACCAAGAGACTTTTATCACAGCTTGAGTTACTGAATGATCTATGTTTAAATATCAGCTGATGATAGCTGAAATAATGCAGCTTAAATAGCTTCTTATATTAGCACACTGGATGCTAGAATTTTTGAAATTATGCGTGACTTGTAGCTTTGAAGACAGGAAGGCCAGTGGTGTTAATGAACCATTAGAAGGTTTTTTTTATCTATGGCGCTTCTGTCGTTCTCCATTAAAAACAACAGGAAAATAACCAAAGGTGATATAGAAGACTACAATTATTTTCGGGAAATTGCCTTTCCATGCTTTTCTTTTCCTTCAGAGTACTTTCCTTTTGTTAAACTTTCTAGAGAAAATAGGTTACCTTTCTTCACTTACTTCCTGTTGGAGATAAAAAGCAA